ACCCCTGCTTGACCTAATACTGCCGAGTGTTGACGTCAGGCATCTACCGTCCCACGCCTCTGCTACACCATCCTGAAGGAGATCTGACGAGGTAAAGCTCCCCGATGCCCCCCAACCCCTACCCATGGGTCCCCTACTCCTGTCGCCTTACTCAGGGTGGGGCAGCCATCTTTCTCCCTCACCCCTACCCCTCTCCTACTCCTCCCTCACCCCTACCCCCTGCTACTCCTCCCTCACCCCTACCCCCTGCTACTCCTCCCTCACCCCTACCCCCTGCTACTCCTCCCTCACCCCTACCCCTCTGCTACTCCTCCTTCACCCCTACCCCCTGCTGCTCCTCCCTCACCCCTACCCCTCTGCTACTCCTCCTTCACCCCTACCCTCTGCTACTCCTCCTTCACCCCTACCTCAGGAGTTAAGGGTCAAAGACTGCTTCACGCTGAATTCTCACCAAGTGTTTCTTAGTCAGCCCAGTCTGTGTCCAGTTGACTGAGAGAGAGAGAGAGAGAGAGAGAGAGAGAGAGAGAGAGGGGGGGGGATTTATTCCCTCTATTCCCTCTATCATCATCTTACGGTTTAAGGTGTTCTGGTGCTGTGATCTGCCCTCTGGTGTCTAAGCTGTGTTATAGTTTGTAATATGAGATTGAAACGGTTTATTAACCTAAAATAATCAAAATACAACATGAACAACAACAAAAAACAGTTTATTTAGCAAGACTGACGCAGGCTTCATCACGGCTCTTGAAACGCCCTGTAGCTGGTTTAGTGTTATGTAGGTATTTACTACAGTAACTGAGAAGTGAAAGTGGAACCCATAGGCAGGACTAATAGAGACGGCACACTAAGCCTTCGGTACACAAGGGGGCAGCATGGCCGGTACTGCTCTCCACCGCAATCCCTTCCCCAATTGTGAGTGTCCCGGGAATCGAACCACTCGACCGCTGCACTAAGTTACCACAGTAGCTATACCCTCCGTAATACAACTTAAGACCAAATGACGAAGTTTGGTATTTAATTTATACGTCTGTATACAGTCAAGAACCACTAACCTTGTAAAGTGATTTATTCTCTTGAGGAAATTCTGAGACGTTCAATAAACAATTACTTCAATATAGGACGAATTTTACTTCTTACTAAATACTGAATATCTTGCTGAATATTTTTGTTCTAGATTATTTCGCCTTAAAGATTAACCTAACCTAACACCATTTGGGGGGTAAGGTTAGCATTGGGTTAGCATTAGGGTGGTTAACCTTTAGATGAAATAAGCTGGGCTGGAGATTCTTCAGGTGATCCGAAATATTTAAGTTAACCCTCTAAGACATTTAATGGGGCGATTATCATGTGGTATTTTACTGTACTTGACCCGCTTATACTCATGACCTGATGCTCTCCTGTACTCGGTGAGTATGATCTTGTATTCACTGTCATTCATCTAGGGATATTCTGGGGATACTCGAGTCAACATCATCCCAGAATGTCAACAGTAAAGTCACACAGCTGGTGGTGGTGGTGGAGGTGGGGCCGTGCCGACGCAGGAGGCGGGGGCTAACGGTGGCTGGCAGCGGCCGGAGGACTCAAACTAGGCCAAGACGCCGCTGCCTACGCTACCTCCGACCCTCCTCCACCTTCACCAGCCACACAGTCTTTCATCCTCTGGAGTATTCTACCCTCGTAAGACACTGATATATCCCGCGCTCTCTCAGACTTACAGGTGTATACGGCAGAGGAGATGCGTTAGTTTGGGTCTCCTACAGAACTTTTAACACAGAGGCTACAACTAGTAAAGCGTGGACCCCCCCCCCCAAACAGGCCAGCCAGCCGAAGGTGTACGAGACGTAATACTAAAATAAAATCACACGAGTTTTACAAGACAGATCTATAATACGATCAGTTTAGACTAATGGACCCTGGCCACGTACTGTAGTGCCCGAGTTTCACTGACCAAGAAAAACAAACATTCAGTCTGAAATTTCCAGTGTTGTTAATGATGACTGTCGCTGGCCTGTACAAGTGAAGGTCCCTCTACCTCCCGCCTGCCTCTAGCGACCTGTAGTGAATCTCGCTGACCTACTACTAGTGCCTGGTAAGTTAGTCTCCAGCTACTGTGTGCAGCAAGATACTGTCAATGAGGTAAAGGTGGTAACTGTAATGGGATGACCTGGTGATTAGAAACGCAAGCTTATTTCACATGAAGATTAACCAAGCTGATGCTTACCTAACCTAAAGCCAACCCAACTATCCTAACCTAACGCTTACCTATCCTATCCTAACCTAACCAAACCTATTCTAACCTAACCTAAGCCTCACTTCACCTAACCTAACCTAAACACCAGCAAGCATTAGGGTGGTTAATCTTCAGGTACGCTGGGGTGTTTGATCTTCAGGTTATCCAAAAACCTTAAATGATTACCTTTGAAGTGATCGTTGGTGATAACTAATACACTTGAATTACCTCTCTCATTAGGATGCATCAGGTGAGTCGTAATCATCTCCTTCGTCGCCGCCTACGTCAGGAAACACCTCCCTTCACGATGTTCTTGTGAAATTAGAAGCATAAATACGTTTCGTCATGTAATTCATTCATAGTCGAGTTAATAATTAATTAATGTATTTATCTTTATTCAATGTTATGTTTTTTTTGTTTTTCCTTGTGTTAGGTTAGTGTTCATATGAGTAATGGTTGGGGCAGGGAGTATAGATTGGGGGGGGGGGGTCGTGAAATGGGTCATCTCTCCTGGAGGATGTCCAGCAGAAGGTGTAGAGGGTGTGACATAAAGCTGAAACGTCCCCTCCCCTCCCCTCCCCCACCCACTCTCGACCTACTTACCCTCCCCTTCTCCATTACTTCCTCCTTTCCCTTCCACTATTCCCCTCCTCCTCTACCCCCTCTCTTTCTCCTCCTTCCTTTTCCTCTCCGTGTTCATCATCATTCAACACACCGACTATTCACCCCTCCTCCTCCCACCTTCTTCCATCCCCTCTTCCTCCTTAAACAAAACAAAAAATAAAAAAAGCTCAGGTTCTCACACACTTCAGGATTCCTTCTCTAACATTTCCTGGAATTGTTGAAGTTCTCTTTAAGTAGTGAGAGAAAGTAATCAGTGTACACGAGTTGTTATGTTGTAGTTACTGAGGTTATAACAACTAAGGTGTTTATAAGTTTGGGTGTTGTGGGTTAAATTCTTAAACCACTACAATGACACACCCTGTATATTACTATGGCACACCACTTATGACACACCCTGTATATTACTATGGCACACCACTTATGACACACCCTGTATATTACTATGGCACACCACTTATGACACACCCTGTATATTACTATGGCACACCACTTATGACACACCCTGTATATTACTATGGCACACCACTTATGACACACCCTGTATATTACTATGGTACACCACTTATGACACACCCTGTACAAAAAATGTCGACACTTCCCTTAGCTGAACACTGAAGGTTTTTGTCAGTTCTGAAAGATTGGCTGGAAAATACCTTATTTGTCGGTGGGTGGGTTAGGGTGCTAATCTTCAGGTGATCCGAATAAAAAGATCACACATAACCTAACCTAACGTACACAGATTAACACGATAGATGGAGTTTAGGTTACGTAACGTTATAGTCAGAGAGATGAATGAAGAATCAATATATTTGGGGGTGATTACGGTCTAGAATGAGCCTGGAGGGTTAGGTGGGTGGTTAAAGGGTGGGGTAGGGAAGGTCAGTTGGGGTAGTGGCGGACTGGCCCACCGGGATACCGGGAAATTTCCCGGTGGGCCCCAAAGTGATGGTCCATCACTTTAACTACGTTTTGGGATTAAGTGGGCCCTTTTGGACCCTTTTGAGTGGGCCCTTTTACAAGTTTTCCCGGTAGAAATGTTTTACCCAGTCCGCCACTGGGTGGTGGGGAGGTCAAGTAGGGTGGGTTGGGAGGTTGTGGGTCCCAAGAGTGATGTGTCGGGTGATGGCGGCCGTGTGTGTTATCGGGGCAGTGATACGGATCCTCCCCGATACTGTTCCTACCATTGCCTGACACCACCTGATACCATACACCACTACCACCACCACCACCTGACACCACCACCACTACCACCTGACACCACCACCACTACCCGCCATCACAACACTACCATCATCACAACTCCTCCACCATTGCAACACCTTCAACCTGTAATTAATAGGTAACATCTATGCGGTACACCTGTAATAGTAACTTCTATACGGTACACCTGTAATCAATGTTAACTGGTGTTTCACTGTTACAGGTGCCAAGATGGAGTCGAACACCTACACGTCTCAGGTGATCACCCTGACGCAGCCGGAGCGTTCAGTGGGCGGCAAGGTGAGTCAAGGTGGGCCCGAGCACTGAGAGGCCCTAACCTAACCTAACACTTTTAAGCTCCTATACTTTGTCTTATATAAGCTACTGTTAATTAAGCTGCAATGGTAATACCTCTTAATCATTAAATTCTCAAAAATTCATATTATTATTATTATTATTATTATTATTATTAGTGTTGTTTTTATTTACCTTTTCTTGATTTAACAGCAAATCATTAGAGGGAATTAAAAATCGTTAAAATGGAAATCTAAGATTATTTTTGAACTGTGAGTGTGTGTGAGTGGGGGGGAGGGGAGGGGGCACTTATGAAGAAAGATCATCACCTCTCCAGCCTGAATACTGACTAACAACACCACCACCACCCCTGCAGTGTCTGACCACCACCAACTAGGAAGGACTCCATCACACTTGTCTTTAACTCACTAGGATATGTTGGTCTCTCTAACACATTAACAAATTCGACTGTTTACTAATTTGATCTTAAGTAAAGTAATAAATTCGCCTGATGTTGATTCAAGAGAATATTAAGTCTTGTGGCGTTATTTTTGTTTTTCGTCTCACTTAGTCAACTTTGTACACCTTTTGTCAATGGATAAAAGGAGTGTTGAGGCGGGGTAAGTGTTGGGTGTTGTGGCAGTTGGGTGTTGCTCCTAAGGCCTTCCACACCTGCACTCCGACGCTCTCCCTGTCTCCCTCATACACTGATAACTTCTCAAACTTCTCAAGTGATCTGGGAAGTGTTCTACAAGTGTTAACCAACAGTAATCACGGATATATCTCGTTAAGTGCTCATAGTGTGTTAGGCGGCAGTTTTATACAGTCAGTACTAAGTGAATAAGGAACGTCCAGCATCATGGACCCCAGCAGCCACCGCCTCCTGCAGCAGGACGAGGGCCACGAGGTCAAACCCACACATCACGACAAGGAAGAACACAAAATGGTTGACGGTGATCAACAAAAACAAGGAAGTGCTGAACGTGACGCGGGTGAAAGGAAGGCATCAACTGAACGGATCAAGTTCTCTACCGCTGTGGACACCTCTCCCTGCGGGGCCGTCGGGGTCAACAGAAGGCAAAGTTCTATTCTCAGGAGGTCAAGTCTTCGATTTAAGTCTGTCAAAGAGACGTCGGCCCCTCACGAGCGTCTTGTAAAGAAAGGATCACAGGCCAACTTCGCCTCAATGACCGGTGATCCAACAGTAGCCAGGAAGGACTCCTCAACCAACGTCTTCTCTTTCCACGACCGTCAATCTAAGAGACGCAACAGGAAAGCTTCACTAATGAGCATCACTGTGTCTCAATGCTCAGACCCCGGCTTTGCCCGCCAGTTCACCCAGTTTGAGGAGACGCCGCCAGGAACACTCAAAGGAAAGCGAGACTCCATATGCAGCAGCACCACCTCTATAAAGGGCCCACTGTTGAAACCCTCCATCATGGCTCAGGGGGAAATGTTCTCTCAGACTCAGCGAACAAAACAGTGGTACATGGCCATCCACGCCTCTCACCCTGACGAGACTCTCCCCATGTTGAAGAAGCCAGTCCTCTTCACTGACGAGGGAGGCAACTTGACCAAGGAAGCGGTAAAACATTCAATTAACTAACAAGATTGAACAGTGTGACTGAATATAGTCCATGATTATGTGCATTTCTTTTTCAGTACACACACACACAAACACACACACTACTAAAGGAGCATTTAGGTCATCATAGGAGCATTTAGATTATTTAGACCACTATAGGATAAATTGGTTACTATATGACTATTTACATTACATAGCATCGATAGGTTGGGTTGTGTTGGGTTGGTAATGCAAATTGCTGAATAAAATGGATTTTATTTTCTAAGTCTGCAATATCACGGTCACGGAGCCACTTTGTAGATTATATTAATCTTTTGGTTAGATTACGTTAGGCTAGGTAAAGCTAGGGTGCAGTATTGGCTTCTTGTTTATGCTAAGATCTGTCACCAATCACAACTAGCAACAGGTAGTCAAGAAGATGATGGGAGCGAACGATCCCAGCGAAACACCATCACATGTCTAATTTTATCTCTAACGAACCACAAGCGCTGCCATCCATGTATAAACTTGAATACTATTAACTGTGAGACGTTTAATGACGCGTTCCTGTTAATATTATATAATTCGGTGTTTTTATTCACTGGAGCGGAACAAAATCTCCAGCAAACGGCCCGTTTATGGTGCCATTTGCCGCTGTGAACGAAATGGAAAGAAAATTTCACTCTTATCCAAATTAACCGCTATATAGTCAGTAATTTTGTCGATAGGTACTGTACATATAAATGACTACTAACACAGTGCAGTACCTAAGAATTACATAATACAAAATACCGACTAAGATTTTCCCACAAGAACAATGACGGAATATTTCACCAAGATGGGCGTGACTAGCTAGGATTCTGGTCGTTTAATGCTCAATTCTTTGTATATACGTTTATACAGTCTCTAAATAGTTCATATATACATACTAATTGTCTCTAAACTCTTATCTTACCTGGTAAAGTTCCATACTAGTAAAAAACGATGAGTAAATAATCCCTTGAATAAAGAGAGATGCCGCACTCCGCACTCTGCCACCTATAACACACTAGAATGGGCGACTCGACATTATATTAAAGAATTTTCTCATTTATAATTAACAATATTTACACTACAGCGGATTCGATAATTTTACTGAATCAGAACGTGAAGGAAAGTTGAAAGAATTCGATTACAGTGGAATTATTTACATATTAATTCACTGAGATAATTTACAGTAGATGGTTTGTTTAGCGCAGTAGCACGTCAATTATTAATATCATTTACAGAGGTAATTTACAGAGCAAGGCGAGATTTACAGATGCAATTTACATGATTTTGAAGTATTTTACATTGAAAACCTGATTTCCAAAGACAGCTCACAGGGCAGTTAGTTAAGACCTTATAAAATTACAGGCGAAAACAAATACATACATATATACATACATACATACATGCATACATACTGTACAATACATTCATGCATACATACAAAGTGAGAAGCATAACTTATTAGAGCTATACTTCATGTGAGTTCCAATATGTTAATTAACTTTTTATATTCCGTGGACAGATGGCGTCATGGATGAAGGAGAACCTTCTGCTGGTGATGACGATCTTGGGCGTGGTAGTAGGCGTGGCCGCAGGAGCCTTTGCGCGCACCGTAGAGTACACGGCAGACACAGTGATGCTCGTCTCTTTCCCCGGCGAGATAATGATGAGGATGCTGAAGATGCTTATCCTTCCTCTCATTATTTCTTCTATTATCACAGGTCAGAAGGCGGAGTGATGCAGGCCAGGAGGGGGGTGGCAATGAGAGGTGATAGCCAAGGGAGGGTGTAATGTTGGCCGGAGTAGGAAGGGTGATGTCGGCTTGGAGGGGGTGGTTATGGCCATGGAGGTGATAACCAAGCGGGGTGGTTATAGCCAGGCGGGTGATGTTGGCCATGGAGAGAATGGTGATATTGGCCAAAGAGATGATGCTGGCCAGGAAGGGGGTAATTACCAATGGGGGGTGAGGTGGTGATACCCAAGGGGGTTATGCTGGCCAAAGGGGGGTTATGCGGGTCATGGGTGGGTTATGCGGGCCATGGGAGGTGATACTGGCCATGGGGTGATGCTGGCCATGGGGTGATGCTGGCCAGTAAGGGAGTGCAGAGGATGCTAGAGAAGGGAGAGAGAGGATTATTGTTTTGAAACTGTTAACTGTATTCCTTGTTCATATTCACAATCATGTAACTGTTAACTGTAGTTTAGGTTAAGATGTACAATCATCATAACATTCTTGTCTTTAAGTGTAGTTCAGTTTACGTCTTAACAGCTGTAACATGATGCACGACTTATGAGACACCCTGTATATGTCAGTCCTCCTACGATGGGGGGATGTTCTTCACTTGTGACGTAATTGTTTATGTTTTTACCTCTTCTCTCCCTCCCCCCATGGCTGCCCTTCCTCTACTGCTGATCTTCTTTAATGTAACAATTTTACATCGACCTCGACCTAATCCTTACCCTCTTCAAGTCACACTCCAACCTGGTGCTCTCTTTTCTCCTCCTCCTCCACCCACACCACCTTGTTCTAAACCTTCCCACTGACCTGGTGTTGGTCTCTCTCTCTCTCTCTCTCTCTCTCTCTCTCTCTCTCTCTCTCTCTCTCTCTCTCTCTCTCCTTCCCTTTCCCCCTCCTCCTTTCCTCCTTCTTTTCTCCCTCCTCCGTCCTTCCCACACTCCATGCCAATCCATTTAGGACAACCACCCACAACATCACACCTACTGACGGCGACCATCTGATCTCACACCTCCTGGATACTATAAACCTCATGACCTGGGAGAGTAGGTGTGGCCCAGCTAGATGCCTCGGCCTCGGGTCAAATGGGCACATGGGCACTGGCATACTACTTCGGCACGACCATCTGCGCAGCGGTGACGGGGATCGTGAGTGTGGTTTCCATACACCCAGGGAGTCCCACCTTACTGCAACGCAAGACCCACAACACACCATCTGCCTTTAAAGTGGACAATAAGCTTAACACCATTGATGCTTTCCTCGATATTCTTAGGTATATGTAGGAGAGAGGAGACAAGGGAGAGGAGAGGAGGGGGTAGAGAAAGAGGAGGGTAGAGAGAGGAGAGGAAAGGGAGGGAAGAGGAGAGGAGAAAGCAAGAAAAGAGGAAGAGATGAGTGATGGAGGGAAACTAAAAAAAAAGGGGAGATGAGGGAGATAGAAAATATAGGAGAGAGAAAGAGGGAGAGAAGTGGAAAGAATATATGAGGAAGAGAGAGAGAGAGAGGTTGAGGGTGTAAGAGAGAAGTAGTTTAAATGACACAATAATGACAAACCGTTAACAAAAGAGACTAAATCCGCTGAGTTATCGGCCACTGTCACCATCACATCCAAGTGTCCACCACCTGGCCAATGTTTAGTCTGAAGAGCACTACCTACCCCGCCCTCCTCCCTCGGTATTACTCCTCTTCTCACCGCCTCGTTGTGTTCTCCTGTGACAGAAACTCTTGTGTTGGTGCTCGTGTGTTGTAGAGTTGGTGTTTCAGTGTTCTATTGTGTTGTAGATTCTATTTGTTATTGTGACTTATGATGCAGTTTGTTGCGAAGTATTTGTATGATGTTTTGTGTTACAGTGCAAGGAGTACTTTTAGAGTGCATTGTGTTACAGTGATATTGAGTACTTGCAAGATGCATTGTGATATTTTACATAAGATAACATAACATATGCTAACTTAAGCTATCATAACCTAACCTAACCCTTCCAGGTAGTATAAATAAGCTGGGAGGCTAATCTGCATATGGTCTTTCTATAGAAATTAATCTTCCCCTTATATGAGTATTAGAAAACACATTAAAATCTAGTAGAGTCTCAGTGCAATATAAGCGACATTACTCATTCCCAGAAGTATCTTTACGGCGGGGTCTGATAAGTATCATAATGAACACTATGACTCCTGTTGTCTCGGTCGGGTTGTCAAAATCCTTCGTCCGTTGTGTCATATTGTCTCACACAAAATCGTGAAGATACTTTTTGGAGTGAGTTACGTGTATCAATTTAAAGGAATATGACGACAGGTAAGTAAGTGATGCTTGTTGATTTGTATTAATAACCAGTTTACAAATCATTAAATGTAGAAAAAAATAGATAGTGATTAATGATAGTAATAATGTCCTTAAACTTACTTTAGAATTTAGTTATGACATTTATTGCGTGATATTAAATACTGATTGTGGTCTGTAATCATTTATTAGTAGTTGCTGGAGTGAACGAAGAATGTTGATGAGCTAATGTTGCTTTTTGTTAATATGATCGATATATTTAGATAGCTCTTATGCTTAATCAGTTATAGTTCTGTTTGTTTAATCTTGGTTCGTTATATTTTTTCAAATTGGTTCATTTGGATTTAGTTTTAACATTTATATTGTTTTATGGTGATTAATTTTTGTATAATATATATTTTTATTCTTAATACCACCATCACCATCGCCTCTACCACCATTACCCTTCTCTACTACCACTACCACCTCTACTACTACCACCATCACCATCGCCTCTACCACCATTACCCATCTCTACTACCACTACCACCTCTACTACTACCACCTCTACTACTACCACCATCACCATCCTCATCTTCACCACCTCTACTGCCACTATCCCCATATTTATTACCACCACCTCCCCCATCTTTACCACCACCACCACCACCACCACCATCACCACCACCATCACCATCACCACCACCATTACCACCAGGATTGTCGTGCCTGGACACCGGCTCGTCAGGGAAGATGGGGTCTCGTGCACTCTGCTATTACTTCAGCACCACCATCTTAGCAGCGGGCCTGGGCATCACCATGGTTACCTCTATCCACCCAGGGGACCCCTCTATCCTGGTGGGGGGATCACAGACCGTAATGAAACCCACCGAGGAGCCACAAATCATTGATGCTCTTCTTGATATTATTAGGTAGCAAGAGTCCGCATGTTGGCCTACGTACAAAAACTTTTGTCCTTTTGTGTAACTTGAAAAACTCTTGTTCTCTTACGTGACTAAAAAAATGTTCTTTTATCTTAACGTGATTTGCAAAAACTATTCTTCTGTTACGTGACTTGAAAAAAACTTGTTCTGTTACGTGATCCGTAAAAAAATCCTGTTCTGTTCCGTGACCAACCCAAACTCTTCTGTTACATGACCTACAAAAATTCGTCTTACTGCGTGGTCCACCAATAACCTTGAAGTCTACAGGAACTCCAAAGAAAATACAGGAACATTAATTAAATCTGAGAGTGGAGTCGTGAGCATCTTAGGTATTTAATGAAAGTGATAAAAGCTTCCATCTCCTCCTTTACACCTGGATGGAACATGACACACCTGGCCAACTCTCCTAGACAAATACAGCCAAGAGCCTTACACCTTATTAGTGATTTGTTTCTCGCTTCCAGCTTCTCTTTTCTCATGTTTGTCGTTCATTATTATCTGTTGTTTTTCTGCCTTGTGGTGGTCTATTCTTTATTCTATTTGTTTTGTTTGTTTTTAGATGTAATGAATTTGTTTTTAGTTTGTCATTTGTTGTGAATGTTTTGTTTTCAGGTATATTTTATTTGAAGTTAGATGTATATATTTTATTTTTCTTTAAAGTCAGATGTAAATAGTTTGATGTTGAATGTTGTCATGAGCTCCTGCTTAATGCCAGGTGTACAGAGTATGTTATTGTCGTATATAACACTTAGCTATTGTTAACTGACAGATGTTGTACAGAGTTTGTTTGTGTAGTAACTAACAGGGTGCTAGTGTTTATTGTCCTAACACTCTGGTGTATTTATTGTCATATGTTGAGAATAAGTTGTAAATGTTTTAGCTGGCATGTATTATATATAACTCCACGTAGTTACGGTAATCTCTGCCTTTGTGACTCCCAGACAGGCCCCCATTTTTATGTCCACAGCACAGGCAGAAAGGAGTCGGAGATGAGACAAGCTTCTTAAAGATTGTTGGGGTCATTGAAACCCCACATGTTTAAGTATATTCATTAAGTTTGCTTGTGTTACGTTAACCCCAAGAGTATGATGCTAACCCCCTGAGTACGATAATAACTGCTTAAGTATGGTGCTAACCTACGGAATTCAATCTATTTTACATAAAAAACACATCAAAAACACATCAAAATACCCTTATTAAAACCATTGCTAATCCAATCGAATCAAATCTAATCTAACATATTCTAATCAAATCTAACCCAACCTAACTTAACAGAATCAAATCGAATCTAACCTAACCTAATCTAATCTAACTTTTACAGAAACATGTTCCCAGATAACTTGGTGATGGCCAGTTTCTCCTCAACCAAGACTGTGTATAAGAAGGTAAGATCCCACTGTACTTCTCACCTCCTGGCAACGTCACTCTTCCGTTTACACGGCCACCTTTAATCCTAGAGCACTATGTAAATGGAACTGGTTATCGTAAAAAAGAAGCAAAAGAAAGTTATTACTCTTATAAACATAACACCAAAACTATTAATTATAAGGACTTAATATTAGAGGTATCCATTCTCCAGACCACTGACTTCCTATTGACAGACGGAGAGTTTCCCTGTATTAGCATGATCAGATTTCAGAAGTGACACACCAGGGTTATTTATCCCCCACACTATCACTAACCGTGGGTGTATCGGATCCAAACACCATAAGAAAACAAGAAGGAATAGGAACACAAAAACTGAAGGTAGAGAGTCCCACGTGGTCATACACAAATGGAAACACCGAAAACAATGAGCTTCGAGAAGCGTCGGATATGACAGTCTCTCTCTCTTGGTCTGTCTCATCAGGTTGAGCCGAGTCCGTACAAGGTCAACAATACTCTGGAGGCGATTAACGACACCATGAGAGCCCTGATGATCAACGACACCTCCCTCAACGAGACCTCAGTCGAGGATAAATACGTTCGCTCCCTCACCAGCTCCGAGGGCACTAATGTCATGGGTACTTGTTGTTGGTGGGGGTGGTAATATAAAATACAATGTTTACTAATATGGTTTCTCAGATTTATCCTGAATACAAAAGACTATCGCCACAATGCCAATGAATTCAGTTTGCTACCTCTTCCAGGATTAAATCAATACAGCTTTAATTCATGAATATATTGGCCTTCTATTTTAACGTAAAGAGAGATTCGTCAAGTTGTGAATATACGAAAAGAAAGGAGCTCTAAATTGGCTGATATGATAACACTGTTACAGGGATGATCGTGTTTTGCGTGGCGTTTGGCTCTCTGATTGGTCGGATGCCACAAGGTAAATTAATGGTTGACTTCTTCATTATCCTCAACGACGTCGTGATGAAGATGGTGGAGATCATTATGTGGTGAGTCAACAATACTCTGAATTTATTATTTTTGATCAAGTCCTCTCGGGTATAAGGCCGCTTGCGAATTATCATACTTGAGGTGTTGTATATTTTGTCATTTCATTCCGTCAGTGTCATAAACCTGGCCTTCTTTACAACTTTTGATGTTTTTGCTTCGGGTACTCCTCCTTCAGCGTCATAACCTGTTCTTAATTCCACCCTCTGACACATATTCTTCAGGTACTCCTCCTTCAGCGTCATAACCTGTTCTTAATTCCACCCTCTGACACATATTCTTCAGGTACTCCTACTTCAGAGTCATATTCCTGGCCTTATTTACACCCTATGATGGGCTTCTCCTCAGGTACTCCCCCTTCGGTATCATGAGTCTGGTGATTGGACAGATCATGAGCATTGAAGACCTGCGGGAGACAGCACAGATGTTGGGGCTGTACATGCTGACGGTGATCGGTGGGCTCTTCATACACGCAGTCGTCACCCTCCCCACCATCTACTTCATGGTGACCAGGAAGAATCCAGCCACGTTCTTCAAGGGCATGGTACAGGCCTGGATCACGGCACTTGGTACAGGCTCCAGGTTAGTCTTGTTCACAGATACAACATGAATGAAAACGATTAGATTGTCCGTCACTTTTCATAACACAGCCACTCTGTCCATCACTTCCCATAACGAACTACTCTACCCATCACTCCTCCAGCTCAGCCACTCTGCCCATCACTTTCCGCTGCCTGGAGGAGAACAACAAGATCGACAAGCGAGTGACGAGGTTCGTGTTGCCAGTGGGCGCCACCATCAACATGGACGGCACGGCGCTGTACGAGGCTGTGGGCTCCATCTTTATTGCCCAAATGTATGGCATCCACCTGGGCCCCGGGGAGCTGGTCACCGTCAGGTAGGTCTCGAGAAGTCACTTAGGTAGTGGTCGTGTCTCAACATATTACACCAATGGTAAGTATTGAGCGGGAGGAATTAATTAGCTGGCTGTAATTTGCCAGTAATGTGTTATTGAAAATATGTTTAAAAGTGAATTGCATCGATCAGTCTAGCCTTTGCTGCTTGATTAACGGGGAGGGGGGAATGTTAACAGTTCCTTTGTTGTGTTAAAATAGTTCTCTCTCCTCTGTGTCCTCCTTAATGACTTTTCTCACCTGTCCACAGCTTGACGTCCACCTTGGCGAGTATTGGAGCTGCGAGTATCCCCAGCGCTGGACTGGTCACCATGTTACTTGTCCTCACAGCCATTGGTCTCCCTACAGAACACGCCTCCCTCATCTTCGCTGTCGACTGGATCCTGTGAGTGTTCTTACCTGTTATAAGGAAAATTCCCGCCAGAAGGCAGAATGTCACGTTTTAACCACAACACGAGTAATGACGCACCACAACACGAGTAATGACGCACCACAACACGAGTAATGACGCACCACAACACGAGTAATGACGCATCACAACACGAGTAATGACGCACCACAACACGAGTAATGACGCACCACACGAGTAATGACGCTCCACAACACGAGTAATGACGCACCACAACACGAGTAATGACGCGCCACAACACACGAGTAACGCGCACCACAACACGAGTAATGACGCACCACAACACGATTAATGACGCACCACAACACGAGTAATGACGCACCACAACACGAGTAATGACGCACCACAACACGATTAATGACGCACCACAACACGAGTAATGACGCACCACAACACGAGTAATGACGCACCACAACACGATTAATGACGCACCACAACACGAGTAATGACGCACCACAACACGAGTAATGATGCAACACAACTTCACAGACTATACTCCTATAATTTAGGAACTGTTTATTATATTCACTGGATCATGTAATTATCCAGATGTAAAGTACATTAAAATATATCTAAATTATTTAATTCGGCACTTTGACGAAAATATCCTAAAGTAAGTACAAGTCCCCTTCAATAGTGCATTTACAGTGGCTCGTTCTATAAGCATTCCACAAATCATTACATTGAGATATTTGTTTTAATAGTGTTTTACTTTGATTCCATACTATGTTTACTACTGTGAGTTTCCTTCTGTCTAATTTAAACAAACACAGAGGTGCCACACTGCACAAAACCTGACGAGCCCCTGTAAACGCACTAGTGAAGGGGACTGTACATTCTTCACTTCTTGATAATATAAATAACAATGATACATCGCAGGGATCGTGTCCGCACGTCTGTCAACGTCCTGGGTGATGCTTTCGGCGCCGGGATCGTGATGCATCTATGCAGAGAGGAGCTGGAGCGAATGGGACCTTCCCAACCATCCATCGAAATGCTGGACAGGGTAGAGTCTGGCATGATACCCACCCACACCCCGCGAGCCGTCTCACCCCAGCCTACCCCAGTATCCCCGGACACACCCAAGGATCTGATGGCTCTGACAGACAAGGGAAACGGCCAGCTGTCATGGGGCAACAATCCAGATAAGAGCCCCACTTCTGAGACCCAGATTTAGACCAGAGGAGACCGATCTAGACCAAAAGAGAGACCGATCTAGACCAAAAGAGAGACCGATCTAGACCAAAAGAGAGATCGATCTAGACCAAAAGAGAGACCGATCTAGACCAAAAGAGAGACTGATCTAGACCAAAAGAGAGACCGATCTCGACCAAAAGAGAGACCGATCTAAACCCAAAGGGAGACCGATCTAAACCAGAAGAGACCGATCCGGGTCTTCTGCTGGTGGCTGATTGAGTACTGTGGATAATTGTATTTAGCTGTGTCTTAACTCAGAGTGTGAGGTCATATGTGTTGTCGAATGATGCGAAAAGAAAAAAATTAATTATGTCATAACAATATGACATAACCCTTGACGATCTCACGATATATATATATATATATATATATATATATATATATATATATATATATATATATATATATATATATATATATATATATATATATATATATATATATATATATATATATATATATATATAATGCTTATAACGACCCCTCAGTTATTACAAAAATATAGGTATACTGTATGGTGTGTTTCGTAGTGAGTGGTTACGGCAGTGAGGGAATTTAACCCCGCTAGTTTTTCTTTTGGTCAGTGAGGACAATACACTGATGGTGTAACACTGTGTAGACTCTTTGTGTTAATACTCACTACACCTGACTCGTAACATCCGCACATATAAAAAGATTATATCCATCCAAAATGTCTATCGGGTATAATCGTCCATAATAAAATGTTGTCTTGAGCGAGAAGACGGTACAGTAGTGCTGGTGGTCCCGGACCCGGGGTGTATTATCTAACTGAAGCGTTGATGGAGCATACCAGCGGTGGGACGATGCTGCCTGTCACCAAGACTGCCACCAGTCACGCCAGGAGAGTGCCACCTGTCACGCCAGGCCAGTGCCACCTGTCACGCCAGGCCAGTGCCACCTGTCGTGCCAGGAAATTGCCGCCTGTCACACCGAGACAGTGATGCCTGTCACATCAGGATAGTGCTGATGGTCACACCAGGACAGTGCTGCCTGCCATACCAGGACAGTGCTGCCTGACCCACACGAGACCAAGATTCACTCTCCGCATTAGACCAACCCTCACTACCTACCCAACTGGCCCTTGTGTTACAATAATGAACATAATCACAGACGTCGGTGACCGAGTAAAAGACTGTACATATATAATTAAATTTAACTCGTATTTATTATCGGCAAATATATACAAACTTACCAATATAAAATTACTCATCGATTCTTTCTCGTATCTATAAAGTTTCACGAGTAGTTTAGTCTTGTAGTATGAACATTAGTGTACACATCACGTTTAGCTTAAGTTTCAAGGTATCCCACAAGGCTCGGCCATCCTAGAAGCAAAGCATAACCATTTCAAACACAATGAGCTCAAAATACTGTTCTAAGTACTGTAATTCGACCTTACCATTTTAATGCTTAGAAAAATCTTGACTATTTATTGTCTTCCTACCTTGAGAGAGCTTCTGTTTCCTGGATAACACTTAATCGTACTATGACTATTTTAAAGCTGAACCTTCACCAGTATATTCACTGATTAAAAACTACGCCCATGTAACAATAAATGTAATAAAGCAATTTCATGGTTTATTTTCTTAGTTCCCACTTTCATTATGCAACGGTGGTATTTTGGTGTATTTTGTGTGTGTGTGTATATATATATATATATATATATATATATATATATATATATATATATATATATATATATATATATATATATATATATATATATATATATATATATATATATATATATAGTAACTCAACCAACCAGGAAATTATGATAACGATCTTAGGTTTTAAAGAGGTTAATGGGAACACTATTGGATGAGCCTAAATAAAGTGCTCAAATTTTATATAAATCCATCCACAGATATGAACACTTACTTTTCCTTTTATCCTCTTCACCACTGCTCGTTAGCTGAAGAATGTATCTATGTTGGGTCTTGAAACAGCTCACACTCAGTGCCGTCACAACACTCTGGCAGATTGTTCCAAAGTTTACAATTCTTACTCCGAAAAAGTTTGCCTCCACAATTTTATGGATTTTTGGCTTCTTCAACCTTGAGCTGTGATCCCTTGATTGAGTAACATCTTTTGGGGTTACTTATAGACTATCAAATAACCCATCCAGGTTCCCCAGTCTCCACCTGTACTAACACTGCACAATAAAGGTCAAAACAAAAACGTCTGTCCAAACGGGTAGCTTATTTGTCATATGGGCCTTGGCGGGAAAAAACTGAGAGGGTGAGGGGGTGAGGGTGTATGACTGGAGAAGCACGACAACTCCCCCATGTGTGGTACGATACAGCTCGGGACCAGCCACTCAGTGCACCAGCTGATGAGGGTAAACATGGCTGCGTCCGCACTAGGTCGGGTTTATTCTCATTTACTGAAGGCTTCTTTCCTCGCATATGGCAAAAATGTAAGTAACATGCCAAATTTAATGGGATTAAATATAAGTAAATACTATTACTTCTTTGGTAATTGACAACAATATGAAATTAAGCAACGTTTAAAAGAGGACCGGGACCCGGCTTATTTCACCCTATCTTGGTTCATAAAGGTTTTATTATACGTATTTAACTATTTCCATTACATCAAAATTTTTGACAGAGTTGTAGAATTAGTACAGCAAGATAATACCTACATTGCCTTAAGGGAAATTGTACTGAATGTTCGTCGTTGGTGAGGAGTAAGGAAACTCATGATAACTTGAAAATGTAAGTCGTGTTGCAGAATATCACTGCAGTATACAAGTATTAACAACACTCAGGGTACAGAGGAAGACCTGACAGGGAACTGGCTTGATTTATTCTTTGGAAACATATCATTTAATTTCACACTGATTAATCTAATGTCTTTTACTGTACTGAGGATCAGAGCTCAAGTTAGGAGGAATAGTTTCCATGTGTGTGTTTAGATAGAATTACAGGAATATTCACAGAAATATCAAGAGAAAATCATCACCATCATGATGTTGGTGTTTAAATCCTGGCAACAGTCAGCATGGTTGTTCATGCCTGAACATAGATACAGTATTACTGATTTTACTTAAAATTTCAATGATTTGTTCGTACAGAAATGAGATATGCTATAGTTTAGTGATGGTTCTGTGTCATGAGCTGAAGCCATATGTTGAACATATCCACCAAATTAAAAAAGAAAATTATCACTTAAATATGTCTGATTTTAGTGAGGAACCATCGACAACAACTATTTTAACTTAAAAGTAAAGGTGGAGAGAAAATTAATATTGTATGTGTTAGAAGGTAAATATTCCTTACCTTCAGTTATATAGACCTTCATGTTTGAACTTTTTAACGAGTTATATCTCCCCCCACCCCCGTCACACCTTTTGCCCCCACCAGCTTTCTAGCCACTCAGGCAGTTGATCTGTTCTTTGTTATAACCTTTATTTAACTCCTGTACTCCTGTATCAATTTATTGTGTCATAGCTTAATTATTCTCTTTCAGGGACAGAGAAGTCTTTGTTTGTCTGCAGCAAGATTCTCCTCAATGTACATGACAGATCCCATTGATTTTAAGGAACCCACTTTTGACAAGATTTTGATCGCCAATCGAGGAGAGATTGCCTGTCGAGTGATCAAAACAGCCAAGAAGATGGGCATCAAAACAGTCGCTATTCATTCTGACGTAGATTCGAATGCTGTAAGAATTTTTTTATACACTGCCGTATCAGGATTTAGTGATATTTGTTGATAATTTTTAGTGTGACTTACATAAGAGAGCTGAATAAAAGTAAGAATTTTTTATAAGTTTAATTGAAGTGAATTATAATTGTATGGTGTTTACCCCACAGCCTCATGTTAAGTTAGCAGATGAAGCAGTATGTGTAGGTACAGCCCAAGCTCGTGATTCTTATCTACGAATGGATAGAATAATGGAAGCCATCAAGGAGACTGGGACTCAGGTATATTTTATCCCCTCTGTATAAATACACAATAAGTACCTGTATGAAGTACATTGTGTATGAGGGGTAAATTTGACTTATTTTTATGTACTTTTTTTTATGTACAGTACTGTATATGATTCATTTGGACAGATGGAAGTGTGTTAGGAAAGGAAGTGCAAGCAGACATTTGGAATTTGTGGGGAAGACTGTGAGGTTGAAACATGTGTCAAGAGTAAAATTCCTAACATTCACTTATGCTTCCTCTGTTACCACACTCCCTGAGTTTTGTGTGTTGTGGTAGTGATCTCAATAGTAGCCAATGTCACCAGGACTAAATCATCACCATCACCATTTTACAGCCATTTTCCATGCATGTGTTGGTTAGCTGTGATTACCAACTATTTCTTTTTTCCTCTTCATTATTGTCTTAACAGATGACTGTCTTGTTTCCAGCAGAAGGTTAGGTGGATGGACTTACAAGTGTATATCAGAATTGAATCTATGATGGATGTCAACATTGCTTGAGATTAGTATTAAAATTTTCTGATTGTATTTCTCAAGCCCAAAAACTATTATACACTCAAATTTCAAGGAACAGTACAAAGATTTTTTTGTAAGTTTAGAAAAACAACAAATTTGTTTGGTGTACTGGAAAAGTATAATTTTACTGTCCTAATGAGGAAACTGGAAGCCCTAGTTCATTTCCTTGAACTAGGTTTCTATCTTGGCATAGGCAGTCACACATCCATTAAAGTTAAACCATAGGCCAGCTCAAACAGCGATTAGAAAATCAGTGGGTGCAAATGAATATGCAGCAGTCCCAGTTGTTCGCCATCACTGCAACCCTATCTCTGGGAGGCAAAAGTCATCACTTAATTATGTGAGGTAAATGAGTTTTTTTAATACAGCAGCTTGTGCATCTCATTCTAAGCCTCCCTTGCCTATCATCAGCTATACTAAATTTTCCAGTAAAAAGCCTAGGTCTAGCTATCTCCTTGCTTGAAGCAGGTTATTTTCTGGATAACTCTTGCTTTATAATAGACCTAAGTTATGCTAACAGCCTGTATACAGTAATTGGGGAGTTTTATGGCTGCACCACACAACTGTGCATTATATTTCTTAATGAGGTGCATTCTAGCCTATTATTTGTTTCGTGTTAAAATACATATTTCAGATGTGTTAGTGATGCAGGTGCCAGGTTAACTGGCAGTCATTTGTCACTGACCTTATCCACATCTTCTCAAAGGTAGAACATAGTCTCACATTACAAGTAACTCAGCCTGTTCTTTGAGAGAGTATGTTGTTAAGCAGATGACTGTCTAGACTGTAGGAGAAAATTTCTGGTTTGAGGATGAGCAAGGGATATAGGAAGCACTGTTCAAGGATATAAGTTGGGGCTCACTGGAATTTTCCTCACATAATGCTATTGTGTCCTGACAGCAGGTGGTAGATTAATTAATTACTTGAAGAATTCTGGAATAGGATTCTTGGACATTCAAGGGCATACTGGTGCTCATGGTAACTTGGTCAGGCAGCTGTGAACCAGTACAGTATTACTGGAAAAGCCTGTCTAATCAGAATATTAATGCCCTTTCGACCATTGCTCTTTGGTCACATCCAGCAGAGAACTTTCACATTGATAGGGATTCTTTTCTTATATCATCTAATAATCCTTTTCAGATGACTGGATATTTCTTACTGTACTGTTCAATGTTCAGTGTACTACAGTAATGTATTTATTAACCTTAATATAAATCTCATACAGTATTTTCTCCATAGGCTGTCCACCCAGGATATGGCTTCCTCAGTGAAAATGCAGAGTTTGTACAAAAGTTAGAAGATGTTGGTGTTTCCTTTATTGGTCCAAATGCCAATGCTATCACTGGGATGGGTGACAAGCTAGAATCAAAGAGACTCGCTATGGCAGCTGGTGTTAATACTATTCCAGGTATTGTACAGTACTGTATTTAATTTTGGATTGGGCTTTTACCAACTAATGCAACTTATAGTATTGGTCTCATTGTTAATTCTTTGCCTGTGTTGTGGTTGATGTCACACTTCAGGCAGAATGCTGCTGCAGAATTATAATGTGAGTAATTTTTCATATGGGTAATGCTTTATCTATGTTATAATGATGATGATAATATTTTTTGAGCAAAGTTATCATACCAGTTTACTCTTACTTTGGCATGCATTGTATGTATATAGACTATGCAGGTGTACAGATCAGCATTAGTATAGACAACACAGGTATACAATTTCCAATGTATCTAAACAGTGTAGATGTATAATAACAGTAAACAGTAAGGCAATTTGACCAAAGAGAGCTGACAAAACCATCAGATGCTTATTTCTAGTAGGGAATAAATAACACTGAAAAAAGTGTTTGAGGTGACTTTTAATCATATAAAGTAGTTTCTGTTATGTATTTATTTATTTTTATATTTGTTTTCTTCAGGATTTGACGGAATTGTGAAGGACGCTGAAGATTGTGTACAAATTAGCAATGACGTTGGATACCCGGTGATGATCAAGGCCTCTGCTGGGGGCGGCGGCAAGGGGATGAGGATTGCCTGGAATGATAATGAAGCAAGAGAGGGCTTTAAACTGTCCACACAAGAGGCTGCGTCAAGCTTTGGGGACGATAGAATACTGGTCGAGAAGTTTGTAGACAATCCCAGGCACATAGAAATCCAAGTAAGAATGTGTTTTTTAGTACAGTATTTGATTTTAATGAATTTTCAGTGTTTGTTTTTTTTAGAAGAGTTGGTATAGTACTACTTTTGATCTGTCCCAGGAAGCAAGATTTATTCCTAAGAAATGTTTCATGAACTTTTTAGATTCACTTCTACTTCAAAATTTACAACAGTACTTGTCTGAAGGTGGAGAAGGTTGTGTTACTTGTACTAAAACATCTTTTAGTGATCTTACAGTACTGGTGTCTTAACAGGATTAATAGATGAGATGTTATTTGGAAAAATTTTTGAGACACGCTCGACAAGATCCTCAAACATCTGCTTGATCAATATTGTCTTACTGATTTTTAAGGAATGATGGGTGGAATATTTTGTTTCGACCTTTATTGTTCAGTGTTAATATAGGAGGAAATTGGCGTACTCAGAGAAAACCTGCTGTGTTTGATAGGGTCATATAAGAATAATAAGCTAAAAATTACATATATCCTTGTGTTTCTTACAGATAATCTGGGTGATATGTTGACATTCCTACTTTATTACACTCCAACTATTTTTTGCAGGTTTTAGGTGACAAGCACGGCAATGCCATTTACTTGAACGAGCGAGAGTGTTCCATTCAGCGCCGCAATCAAAAGGTGATTGAAGAGGCCCCCAGGTAAGGAACTCAATATCGTGTGGTGTGTGACTCAGTATTTTTAAGAGTGACTGATTTGGCTAACTAGGTCTGGAGACTCGATTACAGTGGCTCTGGTTAATATCTTCATTTATCTGGTAATAAGAAAATTGTTACCTTGATCCTAGTTAATAATTTAACATAACTGTTCATTTCATCATTGAATTACTAAAGTTGGTCCCATTAGTTTGATGATATACAGAGTGAAAACAAGGGTTCCTCATATCATTTTTAGGCCATCTGCCTAAACATTTAGCAATAGTCTTGATTTTGTGAGGAATTTTTGTATCTGTAACTCGGTATATAAGGATGTTATTTTTGTATGTAATTAAAGTTGAATGATACCCTTTAAATTTTTGATGATTTGAATATTCATGTAAATTTTTATACTGCAGTGTGTTCTTAGATGAGGCTACAAGGAAAGCCATGGGAGAACAAGCAGTTGCTCTTGCCAAGCAAATTGGGTACTCATCAGCTGGAACTGTTGAATTCCTTGTGGACTCTAAGAAGAATTTTTACTTTTTAGAGATGAATACTCGGCTTCAGGTTTGTCTATTGAATGTTTTCTTTTTTCACTGTGATATAGTTTCATAATTCCCTTTTATAATTCATCCCAAATTTGCACCACCATTCATCTGTATTAACAACCATCTGCACTACCAACCATTTCCACCATTTGCTCCACTAACATTCCTACACCACTACCACCTGTACAAACCTCTCACATAGTAACTTAATAATACCCCCTTGGTGGTGTACCCTGCCTTCACATCACCTCCAAGGAATACCTACACATACAACTCAGGAACTTGACAGCCTCCCAGACAACATTACCCAACATTTCACCTCACCTCACACCTCTGTACTCTGTGACTGTCATGCTCGCTCCTCTGCCAGTCACCAATCAGTTCACCTCTCTATCATGTTATATTGTACAATATTAGATTTTACAATCTTTTAGTGTATGCTGACACACTCATTCCTTACAACAAATGCCTGCTAGGAAAATAGTGAACTATAAATACATAGTATTTCCTTTTTCCATTATAAAAAATTATTTCCCTTTTCAGGTGGAACATCCAATTACAGAGTGTATCACTGGTGTTGATCTTGTTCATCAGATGATCCGGGTAGCTAAAGGTACAGCACTATACAACTGTCTATGTAGATGATTTAGCCGATTAGGTTAAATAATCAACTGTCTGGGTATATTTGTTCTTGCATTTTCCCTTTGTTCACTTATTAATGATATCTGAGCAATATTGTGGTATTAAGACTCCCGATGTAATCTTATTGAATCATTGCTTGAATAACTTATCTGTTGTCATAATTTTCAGGACACCCTTTGAAAATTTCCCAAAGTGACGTCCAGATACGTGGGTGGGCCATAGAGAGCAGAGTGTACGCTGAGGATCCCTTCAAAAGCTTTGGCTTGCCATCCATCGGTCGTCTCTCCAAGTACCAAGAACCTCTGCATTTACCAAAAGTATCTACAATGTCTTAAGTTTTTATTTATTACCAGATGTTAATATTTGTAAAGCATTATTAAACACTGTATGGTCCATCAAAGGATTGTTCATATTGTTATTTTTATTTATTTATTTTTATTTAATTTTTTATTTATTTTTATTAATTTAATTTTTTGGGGGGGGTATATGTATTGTATATTCTGAGAATTTAAAATGAAAAAATACTCGAGTTCAATGCAATCCAATGCAGTTCCCACTATAAATGTGGAAGTTATCCCAGGCAAGGAGGCTAATACAAGATGTGATAAAATTTAATTTTTGGTGTCCCACAGTCTGTATACTACTATGAATTATGTTTTGACTTATTTCAGGTGAGATGTGACTCTGGTATTGAAGAAGGAAGTGAAATTAGCATATACTATGATCCCATGATCTGTAAACTGGTGTGTTATGGAGAAAACAGAGAGGAAGCCATTAGAAACAGCATCAAGGCTCTAGATGCTTATGTTATTAGAGGTAAAGTATGGTTGGTTTAGACTATGGCTTTGATGCTGTAAGAGTACATTATATTTGCCACATATCAGAGGTATGAAAAACATGAAAGGGGGAGTACAGTACAGGGTTGTATATATATATCCCAGGGTTTGCATTACAGAGTTGCAGTGGCAGAGTGGATACAGCCCTCATCTGAATAATTAATTTTAAGTTTATTTGAATTTTCTTTGCCAGGTGTCACCCACAATATACCACTGCTACGGGACATTCTCACAGAAGACCGTTTTAATGCTGGTAACCTTACAACCAATTATTTACCAGAAGTATACCCAGATGGTTTTAAGGGGAAGCAACTAACAGCAAAAGAGCAGGTGCAGTGGGTTACTTATTTTATCATAGGAAATGTACAGTTATCTAAATTAGGATAAACTAATTTAAGGGAATTTTACTTTAATCCAGACTTTTCAATTACCTGGACCATCACAAGCTGAAATAATTTGGATTTGTGGGGTTTCCATTTTTATATTTTACAGTATCTTACAGTATTGGTGTTAAAATTTATTACCATTATTTTATTTTCAGGTAGACTTGGCAGCTTTACTTGCCTCCATCCACATAAAGGACGCGCTAAGATCCCGCAACTTCATAAATGATTCTCGAGTGAAAGGAACCAGCAAAGCACCGACCACATGGAAGATTGTGCTTAAATTTGCTGACAAAGAAGTTCCTTGTTCAGTTGAAGTTGTTGATGGGAATTTCAAGGTAAGTTGCTTTCAAAGTTTCAAGTTTTGTGGTGCTTTCTGTGGGGCTTGCTTATAATAGATAACTTAAGATATTGTTCCATGTACAGAATATAGTAGTAAGTAGTAAGTGTCAGTGATGGACCACATTATGACTCCTTCTTTCACATCAATACTTAACCACCTATGTAAGGGGTCCCTTCTCTGCTGAATGAAATTGTTTGGCATTAGCTAAATGAAATATTAAAACTGGTGTCTCATAGTGAAGGGGTTAAAGACCACAATGACCTTTGATGATGGTGTTATAATACTGTACTGTAGTGCACAAACATACATGGGGTTATGTGTCTAATGTTGAATTTTTAATAATAAATTAAGCTTAGTATTGTAACTTATTCCTGCATTATTTCAGGAAAAGGCTTATATGCTTAAAGACAGAAAAGTAATATATACAGGTACCTTGTACTTTACAGTATGTCTTTATATAAGCAAGTTATCCTATACAATTTTGTTATGAACATAATATATTTGTTTACTGCAATCCACTTCAGTGTTCAGATTTAGGAAACTCAAAGTCCTTTATGAGAACTTTTAAATATCATATACTGTACAAGATATACCAGCTTACAACATACTCTACTGTACACTGAAATTAAGTCCCAATTGATATTATTATTGAGACTTTTATGAATTTTATATTATTCTATTTGGAGCAACTTCACATATTCTCAGTGCTAAGGATGGTAAATTTTAAACTGTGTATATAATCATTCCAGGTTACTGCAGATAATGTTACTGTAACAGTAAATGGCAGTTTTGACCTGGCATCTCCACTTATTGAAGCAAACATTGATGGAACTCAGGAAACTGTACAGCTTATCAAACTTGGATCTGCAGGAGAAATCAGAATTAGGTAATATAATTTAGTTGGTATTCAATTATGGTAAAAAAGTTATTTACAGTTTGGTTATTTGAGGTTTGTTTCGGAATGTTCCTTGCTTCTAATCCTGCCTTGTTTTCTCCATAACTAATTACTGTACAGTACTGTAGTTTAATTTTCCTTCTTTCTCATAATCACAAGTTGTATTAGACAAAGTTGCAGGTTTAACAAGAAGGAAATTCTTGTAATTCGTCTCTAATCATGGAAGCATTACAGTAGTGAAGGTAATTGGTTATTAGACTATTCTGCTGTGTGTTTTACTTGTAGTATTCTATTTATACATTTTATTAAATCAACAGGTACAAGGGCACTGCATTCCAAAGTCAGGTTCTGTCTGAAGCTGCCCATCGCTACATGTCCCTCATACCTGAGAAGCCTAAGGTAGGATACAAATACAGGTGTATAGTATACCACAATACCATGATTTTGGACATAATGTTTTAGGATGAAATACAAAGTTTTAAAGGAGAAATAATGTGCTTGTGGTACTGGTTTTATAAGTCAATCGATTACTAAAATTTTAATTTCTCTTAAATATTTAATGCTTAATGATATTTTTATTTAATAGATGGACCAAAGCAAACAAGTTTTGTCTCCAATGCCAGGACTAGTGAAGTCCATAGCATGTGTGCCGGGTGATATGGTAGCGGAGGGGCAAGAAGTTTGTGTTATTGGTGAGTACAGTACACAACTTATTATGTACTCTGAATGTACAAGGTCTGCATTGTACTTACAACTCTTCTTCCTTACTTTTAATGTATAAAATAGCAACTGTTAAACCATTCTTTTTACTGTTCCTCAACAGAGGCAATGAAGATGCAGAACTCTCTCTCAGCAGCAGCAACTGGAAAAGTTAAAGCAGTTCATGTGAAAGAAGGAGAAACAGTGGAAGAAGAACAGGTCTTAGTTGAGCTGGAGTAAACAGGTATTTTAAAAGAGCACACAGTGACAAAAAAGTACAGTACAATAGTTATAAATGAACAAGAAAAGGTGTTGGGAACAAAAGGAGGAGAATCCAGTTGTAATTTTGGATTTAAGTGCATTAAGCAGTAGAAAATAAAAAATTAACTTATTTTGTGTAACAAATCACCCATTGATTTAAAAACTGGATTTAAGACTCACAGAGTCTTTTGTGAAGAGATTTAAGGTAGTAGAAAGTTGGAATTTAAGAGAGAGTTGAATGTCAGTGTAAATGCCAGTACTGAGGTTCTACATTATGGAAATTGTACATCAAAGGCTTGTGTGCTCCCAGAGGCCTCAGTAGATTATGGTATGGTATAAAGGGGTGGAACAATAACACTTGCCATTTAATTATAGTACAGGTATTATTAATTACAGTAGACTGAAGTGATGCTTAGATGCAGGTGGAGGGATAGAAAGTCATAATATCTTTGTTATTGATTCTGTTTCCTTAATTTTGGATTGTGTCAAATTAGGTGTAACTAACACACCCAACAACAGGTATAAGCAATACTCATTCTGAAATAATGTATGGCTTTTGTGGGTGTTGGCCGAGGGTTTTTCAGTAAAAAGTAATGACTAGCCTTATTGGGAGCATATTTTACTAATAGTGTTACATAAGGAGCCCTACAGGTATTGTGAGTAATGGTCATATCTAGAATCTCTTGCTTGGAGAGAGAGAAAAAGTTGTTTGATATTAAAACTTATGTTGTGGGAGGATTATTGCTGAGTACAGTATCATGTTAAAAGGTTCTGTAATGTTGGATTTTGGCTTTGACACACTGAGATCTGAATTTGACTGAACTGTAATGCAGTTTGGATGAGTAACATTCTGGAAGATACAGTATAAGAAAATATATGGATTAAGTTGAATGCACATGAGAATATTATTCATTTGCATAAAAAAGATTGTTTAAAACAGATTCCTGAGGTTCACTAGAATAAGTCTGTAAAGCCCATCCAACACTACTTGAATACAGTACTGCAACCAGACAGGAAAGACAGTAGATAGTAGAGGAAAAGAGGAAGACCATAAGATGATAAGAAACAAGTGAGTAATGCCAGACTGTTAAGTGCTTGAGAGATGTTCAGTGTGCTTCTCTGTGCTGCATCTTATGAGTGATAAAAACAGTACAAGTCCATAGAGCAGCCAAGACAGGAACCATATAGTTATCATGGATCAGTCCCATTTTCCAAGGGTTTTATGATGGGGCTATTGTTAGTCTCATCATTTAAATGAAATAGTAATATACATTCTAGTGATTGTACAATTTAATTTATGCTTGTAGATTAATGGGATGTTCAGAAAATTGATGATTTATTTTCTTAACAAATACAATAGGGTTAGTTATGTTGTGGTAGTGGATTTACCATTAGTAATTGTACATAGAGAAATTGTAACATTGTCTTATTAGGACCAATAATGATATCTCTGCCCCTGGTGTAAAGGTGGTACTGTACTGTATCTCAGTGTTGATGAAATTTATTCTTAATTACCATAGTAGATATCAAAGGTTATTTTTTTTGTAATGGGTGGTGAATGTTTGAAGTGGTTTTTCTATTACAGTAGTACAGTATTATATGCCTTGAGAAAAACTGATTACAGTATATTGTTTATGTATCCTGCCAAGTCCACAGCAAAACTAATAACGAGAACTAATATTTATTTTTTACCCCACCAGGACCCACACAGTAATTTGTGTACATTGTGCATAATTACCATTTGAGTATACAGGTGAAACTAGATGGAGTACGTGGTTTTAATCTAGATTAGCTAAATTATCACCATTTCACAGAGCATTATTACTTTGTATTCATTGCAGCTGACACATGGTTCACCTCATACTTGTACATTTTTAATATATTCACTATTGAATATTTTTGTGATTTCTGGCATGATGGTAAGTACTGTATACAGAAGGCTACTAGTTAGTGTGAATGCCATTAGTGGTCAGCTTTACGTAACTTTGGGGAAAAATCCATACCCGAGGCCAGTAGATACCGGGATAGGCATAACCCTGGTGACCGTTTGCCATGAGGCATGTTGAAGCAAAATTTTATGACTGGATGCCTTTCTTAACACCAATCCACAGGGTGGGAACAGCTGGCCTGCCTCACAAATAACAGACAATAGAACTGTTTAACAATGAAAGGATAATTATACAGTATACACAAAATATTTTTAAAATATATTTTCTATTATTCACAATAGTTGTTCATTACCTATATTGGTATGTGAAAAACTGTACATAAACAATAATAAAGTCAAGGGACACCAATGAAAGTAACTGCAGGAGTCTGATGTAAATTAAGATTAACAGAGTCTTCTTTTGACCAATAACGAGGATTCAGATATCAAAATCCTGTAAATTATGACAACACCCACAACAATAAATTCACAGGTTAGCATCTTTTATAAATATTAAAACAATTTATGCAGAATTCAACTGATCCGTACCAATTCTCATACAAAAATGGATTGCCCAATTTTCATACAAAAATGGATTGATCTTGAAACCCCCATTTTGTGTTAGAACCCAGAACTGGGTGACTGGTGAATTTATAGCCAAGAGTTCTGGATTTTGTCTCCCAGTTGCAACTAAGTTTAAAGGAACAGTTTACCATTCAGTATCCCCACAATATGTACAGAAGCAATGAAGTAGGAAAGCTTCATTATAAGTTTCAGCAGTGCTCCAAAACTTCCAACAGAATAAATGATCTAAAGGATCCCCACTACAGGCCATCACGGACACAAAATTTAAGAACATGATGCTCCTCCTCAGCTAAGCACCTGCCTTTCTCTCTGACCCAGGTCAGGTGATGTCAGTCCCTCTTAACTAACACAGGCTGAGGTCTTAGTCAGGTTGTTTAGCACATTTATTCACCTCTTATAAGACAAAAGCTGTACACAAATCCATGAACACTGAGAATTGCATGAATTAGCCCAATACTTTACTAGTTCTCAAAACGAAAGACAAAGACTTAAGGTACATCTGTGTACCAAATGGAATGTCGGAGACTCGGTGTGAAGTCCAGACTAGGGCTTAAAAGTCTGGTCCCCAACAACTGCAATATGACTGAGTTGCATGTCTATTTACTTTGCTTCCTAGTTTAAATAGTGAACTGTTCCTTCTACAAACCCCTTTGGTACTTAAGTTGTAATAGGGAAGGTTAACCAAGTCATAAAATTAGTTCAAATTTATAATTTCTGATAGTTAAACCTGGTTTGTTTCCTAGCAAAGGGCAATAGCCATGTAACATGTCATAGGTGCCTGTCAATTTATGAACAACCTCAAATAATAAATTCTTCAAAAACTAAGGATTCAAACTGAAGTAAAAAGAAATATGTGACCTCTTTGGTAGTTAAATTACTGACAAAAAAGAAGAAGATTCTGAAGTCCTTTTTTTTTTCTAGCACAACATCTAGCCAACAGCTCTAGTTAATAAGTAAGCCATTTTGGAGATTCAGGTCAATACACGACCACCTAATTGGCAGCCAAGGGGCTGGTCTTACAATAGCCCAACTCCTTTATTACCATAATAAAAAGGGAGAGTGGGATGCAAAGGTTGCCCCCATTGAGAAAGGTTTGTAAATCAGCTGGAATTACCTAGACAGCACTTATGCCAGATAGTTTATATTGTTTTCCAATGGCTACTGACAAACTAAAGGAAGATATTAGAGTTGCTTGGCCACAGGATATTCCTGTGTAAGATATTAAGAATAATCTTGAATTTCTAACCTGACAGCCTTGCCAGGCAACTCTTGTTAAGAAGTCCCCTAGAAAGCTGATCATGTTGATCCCCTAAATTCTTCCAAGGACTAAATAGACATGCACCTTCCAGAAGAGGTCAAAATTACATAAAGGTGGGGATTAAACCCCTAACTTAACTGTAGTACAAGAAAAACATGAGCTTTCAGTATTAACAGCTCTGTGACTAATGAACACATTAAAATATTCATTTGGAGTAGATTACTAGTTAACAAGCTGAATGTATGTGTAATTGTCGAGCCTTCTTTCTGTATATAGTATAAATTTGTTTCGGTAATAAGGTTAACATTAATACTGTAGGCAGTTTGGAGATAGAGATGGCTGCTCTCTCTGGTAGGTAGCTTGGGACCGATTACAAAATGGTGGATTAACTCCGAAATCAGCATGGTGATAGTAGCTTGTGCTGCCTATGTAAACATAGCCTACTTTATGGGCCTCTGATCTGTACAGGGCAAACATTGCTGCCAAACTCCTTTTATGGCAATAGATCATGAGAGGGAGTCAGTCAGTCATAAGATCAACTCCTAGATACCCAAAACAGGAGCCACCTGGCAAAGGTTTGCAGCCTCTATGAAAGTGCTATAAAGATACACAATATGTGGATATAAGAAGACAAAACATCATTGCATATATTTTTTGGTGTTATATTTAGTAACCACAAATACTCTACAAAATAAGTTCAAGATGTCTGGATAATCCTTTTTACTTAAAAAAAAATTTCTAAATTTACAGTTTAATGTAATCCTCAACCTTTTTAAACAAAAATAAAATACAATAATTATAAAACTAGAGGAATAATTGTGAAATTCCATTTCATAACTGAAGACAACTGGAAGACTTGTTATTACTGTTTAAACATATATGGAGTTGAACCCAGGAAGGCTCTCGACAATAGTGGCTGGACCTACTCCAAGAATACATACACTGTACAACAAGAACTCTTCAAATGTTAAGATATACAGTATGTGCTGTTACACAAAGTACAACTGCAGCAGTGTACATCTTGCCTGTCACTTGTGAAAACTGAACCAACCCTCACTTTGTGCTAACGTACTAACATCCCCCACCAGAGTGCACAGTCACCCAGTCCAGTCTTTGTATGAGATGGGATTTCAGGATCAGTCCTCCAGTTATAATCATACTGACTGGACTGGATATGCTTGTTCAGAACAATGATTTTTTTAATTCAAACCTATATCCTGGGAAGCAATGACCTATTGAAAAAATAGATCTCGTAAGAAATGAAAGTAACACTGGAAGAAAAGGGACACCACCTGCTGTGATTAGGTCTAAATTTTGAGAATCTTGCAAATTTAACAAGATTCCTGGGTTCCTCTTAATTGTTGATGAGAAGTGGAAAAAATACTTCACAAGGCATCACATCACTGCTGATGAAATGTCTTGTGCCTGTCTGACATACTCATACAACATGTACAAAGAACTCCTTTTAGGGGTACTAGTTATATAAAGAAGGGGTACTGTACCCCAATCTTAAGTTAGACCCAGTCACTAATGTCGAGGGTTACTTGGGTTTTAACTCCACACTACAGTATTAGTACAAGTACAGTAATACAGGAGTCGTTCAGTCCTGTCAGTGTGGCTAGGAACTACAATTAGCATAAGTTCCTCTAGTATAAACAGAGGCCAAGATCATGTAGCAACACAATAGTTCTCATACAATTTGATAACCTACACAACAGCTGAAAATATTTTCAGACAGTTATCAATCAATATAAAAAAGTGTTATAAAAAACTTGTTAAACACACTTTCATTTAATGTACAAAATTTGAGCCTAAGACTGGAGATGGCCCGTGTCTATATACATATTACTTTTTCTTCTTACTTTCCTTTTTGGAAGTACTTGACGACTTCCTCAAAGAGAAGCCTATAAAGATTAAAACCACCACCACAAACACGACGGCAGCCCCATGTATAGCACTTGGGTTTTCTCGTAACCAGTCGGCACACCACTCAGTGTAGTCATCACTGGGGAAAAATTACAGTTAGTTATTCATTCAAATGGTGTTCCTAAAGATATTAATACTTTGCACTTCAGAATTATGTATACTGTACTGTATATAAAACCTTCATTGATTTCGACTTCAATATCCCAGATAACTTTATAATCTGGACCTTGTCAGGTTTATCTGAACCAGTAAACCCTGATCCGATTCCCAGACTTATCAGGTAATTTACCTTGAGAGAGAGAAACTTACAATGGTGTCTTAGGGGGTGGAATATCTTCTGTGCGGGCATTTCTGAAGCCTTCTTGAGTAAACGCTGTGAGTGCACCAGCATCAACCCCAGGTAAGTTGTAGCGGTAGAGACGACCCTGACGAAACCTTAAAAAAACAATAGTGCAACGAGAAAGGCTGGAAAAATGTTTTAAGTTAAATTAAACTTTTTCCCACTGAATTATACTTTTATCAACTTACATCATAAATACAGGTATTGTACTAATATATATATATATATATATATATATATATATATATATATATATATATATATATATATATATATATATATATATATATATATATATATATATATATATATATATATATATATATATATATATATATATATATATATAGCTAACACAATTTCTTAAAACAAGCACTATACAAGAAATACTTACCTACATTTACCTGATGAACCACCATCACTGATGTTCACACACACTGTACCAAGAGGACCAATACTGTAATGTTGTAGGACCAAGAGTTGCCAGCAGCCATTACTATACAATTTCCCCAACACCTGTCCTCTGGGGTGCTTCATGAATCTACTGTACATTATTGTTAGCGTGCCCGTAAGGATATTCATGTGTTCTGTGTCGTGTATTAATCTGATCTTTTCATGTACCTGTATTTCATATTTCTATTGTTTTTTGAGTGATCTTGTATTAGAATTTTTAAGTAGCTATTATGTTCAGACCTTCTGCTATTTATGCCTTTGGTGAAGGATTTCATGCCACAAGTTTGAAAAGATATGGAAGCAGAGAGAAAGTGTGTGTGTGTGTGGTAAAAATTGCAAACCTTTTCACATACTCACAGAAGAAATGAAGGGAAGGTTTTTACGCCAAATCTTCGGGTTGTCTGACCACCATCAGTGTCACGGTTAACAACTGCCACATTTTTTTGGTTTCTCATCTTGGCAGCAACAGCTTCAATAGTTGCTTGTAACTTAGTACAGCTGTCACAATCTGCACGTGTGAACATCACCAACCAGTCTCCAGTTGTGGCTCCAGATGCTGCCTGGGTTAGGTGCTGTGGGAAGATGAACTTAAAATACTGTACCACACTACCAAATTTAACTTCTATTTATCTAAAATTTATATAAAATAAACAAAATATAGTATAAGCTTAAATACAGAGGTACTCTGTACAGTATTATAAAACAACCATTTGATTTAAACTTGTCTTTTATGGCAAAAATTGGTGGTTAGTCCTTTATTTATTTGTCCCTTTGAGACAGCTCCACACAGTTCTAATTATCCTATGAATGAAACATCAGAAACCCAACTTTAAATGAATATTAAAGGGGCAAAAATTAAAAAGTGACCATGAAATCCCTTTTGTGGCCATCACTTGTAGCTAGTACTATACCTCTCATAATGTAAGACACCCCCCCCTTACAATGCCATCCTGGGTTGAATCGTTAATCAATTTTGATATACCAAAATCTCTTGATTATGATCCATTTACATTACAGTGGGGTATGCTATAACGAATCTAATTGGTTCTAGAACCTTGTTCGTTATAGCATTCGTTTGTTATAGGATTAATCTGTTCCAGGCCCCCAAATACAACCACTTAACACTGAAAAATATAATATAAAATTGTAAAAATTGTAAAAAAGTGCATAAATATGCATCTAAACCCCTGAAATAAAGAATATCATTAATATTTGTAATAATAAAACAATAAATTAGAAAAAAAAAAATTAAATTATGTTCGTTGTAGGAGTTTCGTTTGTTATAGCATTCTCAATTTTATAGGTAAAACCGTTCGTTATCGGAATATTCATAGTAGGATCCGTTCGTTATAGCATACCCCACTGTAAAAAATTAAATTATGTTCGTTGTAGGAGTTTCGTTCGTTATAGCATTCTCAATTTTATAGGTAAAACCGTTCGTTATAGGAATATTCGTAGTAGGATCCGTTCGTTATAGCATACCCCACTGTACTTCTGATCAGTTATTTTATAGACAAAATGAACTTAAGTCAGATACAGTACAGTGTATCTTGGTAATGAGCACAAAAGAAAGTACGTTTTTGATGAAGTTAAGGTTCCCAAACCCACAAAAAAGAAAGTTACCTCAAAGTTGACATCACTTAGATGGTGGACTGCTGAGTCTGGATTAGTAACTATGTAATGCAACATGAACTCATCATCATCTGCGGGTCCACTGTACAGCAACGGGATCTTATTTCGTATAAAAATAACACCGGTGCCCGTTTTCTGTAAAAAATAAATAAATAAAAATTAATATATATATATATATATATATATATATATATATATATATATATATATATATATATATATATATATATATATATATATATATATATATATATATATATATATATACTACAGTATACATAAAAAGTAAATTTTATAGTCCGTCCTTTACAACAAGTGTACAGCAGAAACCAAATACAGTATAAACTTCATCATCCCAAATAAATATCTGAGACACCCACCTTTCCAGACAATCCATACTGTTGAGCAACAGCTGGAGTGTGTGTGCGTACTACCCATGCATTAAGTGCTTCAACGATGTCTTCTCTTATGAGTTCCAGGGTAGCCTCCAGTTCTTCACATTTCCCGGTGCACTCACTGCTGTCACCTAAATAAGGATATATTATCTTTAAACCTGACACATGCTACACCAATCAATTATAAAAAAAAATAAAAATTTCTAACTTAAAACTAAACTTCAGTAAAAACTTTATTATCAGGCCTTTTATTACTGTAATTGCTATGTTCTTTTATCCAATTTTAATATTTTACACGGAATATATCTAATTTTGCATTAAAGCCAATTTTTGCGATATGTTGAGAACACTGCAAAGGGGTTACAGAAACAGCAATTCTTGTACTTTTCATTTTCAATAATTTTTCCTCACTATTAATAATATGTTTCTTCCACAACCATCCATGGCCAAGATTTGTATTTACATAAAATCACTAACCAGCTACCCACCACTTCCAGCGATTGCTATAAGAGATGAGAAGTACTTACCTAACCTTACCCTATGTTGACATAATATATTTTATGATAAAAGTTAACAAATTTATCTTGTTAGAAGGTAGCCACTTTAGGTACAAATTTTGAAGAAAACCTGTGTCTTACTTTTCATTTGTCAAAAAAAAAAAAAAAAGTTGAAAGAATTGCAACTTTCCCTTTTTTTTTTCGTTAAAAGTAAATACCCGGTATGGTCTGGCGACGCGTGGACTACATGTTAAACTGTACACACACTTACCAGCGATCAATTCCAAAGCTGACAACCAAATGTTTCCCAGAACTTTCTATGCAAATCATTAACAAAATAATATCCTAACCGAACTACCTTACCTAATATAATGCCAATTTCATCCTAGGAGAGTTAGGTAAGAGTTGATACTACAGCGGTTACGTGTGAGAATTATCCCTACAAAGATATATACAGTAGACAGATACGTAGAATATTTTTTAAATTAGTAATATCGTCATACATGTTTACACCTGGTTGTGCATGTATATACAGTAAGAATCCAGGAAAAAAGTTCCAAAATGCACCGAAAAAATCTAAGCTAAGCTAAGTTAACCTACGTGCAAGGTATGTAGCACTAACCTCGTGGGGGTAACTATCACTGGACCCCAAGAGAGAACAATCAAGTTACAAATAATAAAACAATCAAACCAAAAATACAATCATCAATCAATAAGTAAATAATACAAATAAAATATGGAGTCACTTAAGCCGGTAGCATCTGTCCACTCAACAACACTTACTGAAAAGAATGACGACATATTTTTCTTCAGCTATAAGCTCTTTTACTTCTTCCTCGTTCATAACTTCAAGGCCTTTGGCGATAGTGAAGGGGCACGAAAGAAGCAGCAGGAAGGACATGACAGACAGCAGACATGGTGTGACAATTGTTACCGCCATTGTTGTTATGTGTCAGCTGTGAGGTGAGTCAGTCACAGGTAACTTTCTCTCCTTCATTAACTCTCTGGCAACATCTACCTCACTTATACATTTAACCCAGAGATGGCGGTAAGAACCATTAACTTATCATATATTTCTTTTCCTTAATTGAGTCTTATACGGAAGTTGATATTTGTTAGTAACTAGTGTTAGTAAAGATAAACCATCCTAATACTATTTGGAGGATGGAGTTAGGTTGGGTTAATTTGGATTAGCGTTAGGGTGGTTAATCTTCAGATGAAGAGAGAAGTAGAGTGTATAAATGGAAGTCAGGGCTAAACAAAGGGGACATTACAAAGGTACTCAAACTATCCAACCAGGAGCGAATTCGTTACAATGGCTTTAAATTAGACAGATTTAGATTTAGGCGGGAAATAGGTAAACATTGGTTTGGAAATAGAGTAGTGGATGAGTGGAACAAGTTACCAAACATCATCATTAACTCTAATACACTGGATAGCTTCAAACATAGGTTGGTGGACATATGAGCAATAGGGGTTGGGTGTAACGGGACTGCCCAGTATGGACCAATATTTTATGTATTACTGTGCTGACATATGGAAGTTGTTTTATCCACTATTTTCGATTAGTCTTGGTGAATTATAGTCCCTCTTACATTTTGTTATAAATTTAAATTCTATTTTTGTAGATATTGTTGTTGGTAAGCGTGCAGTAGCTTTCTTGGTTTACCTTGGTCTGGTGGCCTTGCTGTTTGCCGTGTGTCTGTATACCTGTGGTCTGTGGATGTTCTTAATGCACTATGTACGTAAATTGTACACTGTACTTGCACTATTTTTTTTCAATTTATTGCTTTGGCGGGGAGAAGAAGTGTCTTATGATCTCTCCATTGTTCCTAATGAGTTTGTTTTTTGGGTGATTTGTCTATTTTATCATTTTATTATAAACTTTATTGTCCAGTATTAGTAGAAGAAACCAGAGAACTGTACTTTGAGAAAACCTGCCATGTGTGGTAGTGTCACATCTGACCCAGACCGGGGATTGAACCCAGGACATGATAGGAGAGATACTGTACACGCGATGTCTTTTTGACAATTGGAGTTATATGTAGAAATTTTGGACTATGCAATTAAATTCTAATTACTTTGATTATCTGATGAAACAAAACAATAGAGAAAATTCCTCCAATGACAAGTGCATATAACCTTGCCTGCTTTGTGATTGGATGTTACCTCAGTTTCAATACTATCATTTGACTCTGGCTTAAACTTATCTTATATATTATAATATAAAATAAAATAAAAATTATAATAAAAATATAATTCATATAATACTCTAAGGATTTAAAAGTTAATATTATTACATTAATGACAATATTAATAATTTTTAACTATATTATTACTATCGTTTGGGTAAAGCAGTTTGAGACAGTCGGGTCAGCTGGCCACATAAGTGAACGTGAAGTAAAGTGTTGTCTGGGAAGTCTTCTGCTCAAATAACAATATCTTACCTTCCGAGATCAAGTTTAATTATTCACACCTTTACAACAAGCCAGTCGCTCCTAAGATAAAGGTGAAAAGTGTTCAAGATCTAAAAGTTGTAGTTGTATTGTCATGGTGGATTTTGAAATGTGTTTCAGGTTGCAGCACCATCTTTCACTGACGACAAAAGTGTTGAGACATACTAGAGTAGAGTGATGAAGGTAATCAAGTGTAAAGTAGATTATGTAATTAAATCGCATGCAGGTGTAATCAGGGTTGGTGATATTATGACAGTGCTCGGATGCCCCTGTCTTTAAAACCACCTGAGTTTTCGTCTTCCTTTAGAGAAACTGTCTTGACCTCTCCATTTTAAATATTTTTGGTATGTAAAATTTAAATGTTATCAGTGTACACCAGAACATGTAACCACATGATCTTGCCAGGTAAGTAGGCCACTGTCTTCATGTGCACTCTGGGGTGAGTCAAGACAAACCATTACTGAACTGTGTGAGGAACAGACCACTGGGTGTTGTTCAGCTTTGTTTTTGTGGGATCAGACCTGCTGCTCTACAAAGTTGGTTTGTATTCATTTTACAAAGCTTTCAAAAAACACACAGCCTGTAGTGTACTTCCTACGGTAAATGTTTTGTAAACCTTGTGTCCCTGTTCTGACATTAACAAAACACACAGAAGATGTAATTTGTTAGACACTTGAGGTAAGGAAATGAATGAAGAGTGCAGTAACATACTAAAAAGAAGGACGGGTGTGTTGTAAAGAGATACAGGAAACAGTTTGTTGTGAGTGTTAGACATTTTTACTGAGCATCAAGCATATGGAATTATCATTTTGTAGTAATTTGAACTGCAAATTCTTAGTGAACATTAAGGCATGCTAAAATAAATTATCATGATTTCAGAGCAGGAACATCTAAGAAGGAAAATCAAAATGTCAACCCGAGCTATGAGGAAATTACAAGGGGGACGGGGAGACTTGGATTTACCCAACAGTTGTCCAGAAGAGGAAGATGGGGAGGAAGAGCAAGAGATAGAAGAAACTCAAATAGTACCTCCTAAAGGGCAGAATAGATTTGATTTGGTGAGTTAATTATCTTTTGTGCACCATAATTCTGTTTCAGTCAAAGTACTGTACCGTCCTCATATCTGAAGGCTGGCAACATCAGTCCTCCCCTCTAAACGTTTTCAGGCTATTGTACCAATCTTACGAGAGTTTTTGTTTCTCTGAGGACCCAGGTTTTAATTTAATTAATCTACCCGTCACCACTTTCCCCTGGCCCTCCTACCCTCAAATTTGCCCATTAATATTTCTGTAATTATCCCCCCATCCCTAATTATATGACCAAAATATCTAATTTTCCTTTTTTTTTTGTAAACTTTCAGATGATTTCATATTAAAGTTTTAGTTTATTGTTATACTTCTTTTCAGTTGATTCAGGGATCACCATCAGAGTCTGAAGTGAAGGAAGATGATGATTTAACTGAGACTGGAGAAGGGAAGGATGATGCTCACCGGGATGGCACCTCTCCCCAACCTCCCCTCGGGTCTGGGGCCAAACGAAAACGTAAAAAGAAGAAAAAGAGAGGGAGACCCAGAGTTCCTGCCAGCAGTGAGGATCCAACAGATGTAGGTGGTCTTGATATACTCTTAAGATTACTAGACACTGCACTTTAACATCTGATGCCTTCTAATATGTACAGTATTTTTATTTATCATTTCACCACATATCAACTCACTATCAGTTAAAGCAGTTGGTTTGTTCCTTGTTATTTTTTTAAGAGGTTTATTATCCAGAGTACCTGGAGAAAACCTGCCATGTTTGGGAGGGTCACACTGACTAACATCCTTCTCACATCTGTTCTATAATGGGGATTGAACCCAGGAGACTTCTTGGAGAGGTACCTACATTACCTCTACTAGTTGCTTTCAGTGTAGTTTGATATTAATACTGTTTTGTTGTCATTAAGATATTGGGATTAAATATTATTGCCACTATAAGGTTTGTACACACTCTGTTTGAACAGGCTGGTGTGTGTGTGTGTGTGTGTGTGTGTGTGTGTGTGTGTGTGTGTGTGTGTGTGTGTGTGTGTGCGCGTGCGCGTGCGTGCGTGCGTGCGTGCGCGCGTGATACCCACAGAGGGCAGAATTGGAGATGGTCTGATGGTTCAAACTGTGCCTGTGTGTGAGCCTTTACAGATATTTCAGGTAAAATGTCTGTTGTTAACTGTAGCTATGTAAAAATATGTATTGAGGTATTTTGTCTATTGATTTTCTAATTTTACCGTTTGTTGTTTGGTGTTTTTGTAGTTATTTACATTTTATTGTCATAGAATGCAACAAAAACTATAAATAGGTGAACTCTTTTGTGTTATAATTGCTCTATGTTATTGTTGTCATCATCAGTAAAGTAAAGAGGAAATGGGCAAAAGTTTCTGTCCTGAAAGCTACAGTAAACAGTGACACACGAGGATACAGTGTTATGAGGATACAGTGTTATATGTTGTATTTAACTCTTATATAAGTTCTCTTTGTTCCTCAGAATGATAAAGATGAAATTGATAATATTATTCAAGAAGTAAATGCTATCTCTGGCGAGACTCACGTACAAGTCAGCGTCGAGAAAAGCACAAGTAAGTTGGGATGTGCAGATCTTTTGTTGCTGTACCCTGCTAATTGGTGAAAGCAAGAATTCTATGATGTAACTTTTTTCCTCGATGATTATTTTTTAAATGAATTATGTTATGATGAAACCTGCACAGTATTAGGCTGACTAACTTGCATGACACAGATATCACTTATGCTCCCTAAGCATAGTGGCAGTTACAATATACTGTACATAACTGTTACCAACTATGGTATATCCAGATCACTACCTTGAAAAGAAATGTTTTATTTTTCAGCTGACTTAGTGTTTTTAGTAGTTAACTGCATGTAAGCACTGAGTAATTAAAGACAAGATGGTTATACCCCAAAATATATTGTGGAGTTCATAAGAATGTTTCTATCACAACAGCTACATTGCCCTGACTTGTGGCAGACCTCACACATCAACAAGTGAGGTCAATGTTGCTGTTGTAATAGAAGCATTCATGCTATCTCCATGGAAATATGTATGGCAGTGTCTATATGTTTTTCTGAGACACCCTGTACTTACATACTATTTTCTCAATAGATGATAAAGTAACAAGAAACTTACTGACAGTGGAACATAAGCACCTTAACCCACAAAATGAAATGAAGCGGATATTTGGCTCCAGAGTTGTTCAAGCTAATGAGAACAAGTAAGTGTGCCCAGATTCTTGTGTCATCTAATGTTTGTGTTGTAATGCAGGCTTATGGCTATTTCAGTCATCTTAGCTTCACTTCAGTGGATAAAGGACAAACTTCGTTTTTGTAAACCCACTAACCAGAAACTCAACAATGATTACCTTGTTACCCATTTGTCTATGTACAGGTTTATACATTTATATATTATTTCCATTGTAAAGTCTTAATCAAGAACTCAACCTTTTTGTTGACTCAGAATAGATAACATTATATAACCTCACATTGGTTGATATCATCAGTACCGAAAGGTTAAAAAATGACCTGACCACTACCAAGACTGCCTAATATTGTTGATATGTTTGGATGTTCTTCATTGTTAAAACTAAATTCTGGCTGTGATTAGTGGGTTACAGGTTTGTCAGGATGAAAGTTAAAAATAGACTGGAGTAACAAACGCTTTCCTTTATCTTTCAGTAGACGCCGAGGCAGAACTGGCAGATTAATTAAGTCAACGTGGATTGTTCAGGGCCACCCAAGCTGGTCTCATCACCCTCGGCCGGGTATATCCATGGTGGTGGCTGAAACTACTCCGGCATATCCTGTGTTCAAGTATGTTCACAGTCAAAGTTATCAGCAGTTGCAGTTCAAATTCCTCGAGGCCGTTGAATCCCTAAACCCTGAAAATATTATGGTTAGTGAAAATCTGTTGTTATTTATACAGTACGTACAGGTAATAATTTGCAAGATATTAATTGTGAATATCTGGTAATTTTCTTGAATAAGAGTAGAAAATATATTACTTGATGAATGAGGAATTAATCCTAAAATTCAATTGTATCAAAGGTGAGTAGATGGCTAATGACACGAACATGCTACAGTATTTAATATGATGGAGTTATCTTATCAGGTGTCTAAGCTCAGTGGCCTTACTACTGTTGTATCTATATGAGATGGACAGACAGGTTGAATTTGGATATGAGAGAGACAAGGTAGTAATGCCAGTAGTTTGATTTATAGGTTTTATATCATCCATGCATGCCTTACATTATGAAGAGCTGCAGGTTGTATATAGAAGTCCAGTGTGCATGGGGAGAAGTCCATATTTGTGAGGCCAGAGAAATAAAGAGTAAGAATGGAGGAATGTCTGCTGTGTAAGGACTAATGAAATATAGATAGAATGGCTCTCTGTATGTGAAGATGACTAGCACCCAAAGACATATTTCACCTGATGTTTGAGCACCCTCATGCTAAATGGGTGGTTAGGTTAGCATTTGAGTATTTAATCATCAGGTGAAACATGTGGAGGTGTCTAATCTTCATGAGGTCCGACTGATTTTAATCCTTTTTCATGTGTGTGTTTTGTTATGATATCAGATGCTGCTCAACCCTGAACCTTTCCACGTGGATACTCTTCTTCAAGTCTCTGAGATATTTCGGCTTGGGGATGACTCTGCCATGGCTGCTCAGCTTATTGAAAGAGCACTGTATGTGTTGGAGTCTGCCGGTCACCCATTGTTTAATATTGCTACTGGTACCTGTAGGTTACAGTATCGTCAGCAGGAAAACAGGTAAATACGTCTCTTTTGGCTGAGATTTTCTGCCTTGACACAAGATAATTTTTGCATTCATAGTGGCTGAGATTTTCTATACCTTGGCACCAGTTTGGAGTGACCCAGTCCTCTTAAAGTATAAAGGATTTTCCCCCAGTAAACTCTGTGATCATATTAAACTGGAGGCTACTCAAAGATCACTCATTGTTTGGGTGGCTGGTTGTGGATAACCATAACTGTGTTCATTTTATGGTGAACCTCAGGATAACTTACATGTTTGGGTTGATTAGGCCTTTGTATAATGTTTTATACTTGGTGAATGGTGTTTGTTTTTTAGTGGAAGTAAATGACTATTGTATTATTTTTCTCATTATACTAAACTAACTTATAGAATCTTCGAGGAAAGGGAGTTGTATTATAGGTTTATTATAAGATTTTCTAGGTGATTGAAACACCCTTTACATGCCTCAAGTTATATTTTTCATAATGTATTAATGATGTGACTGGTACAGCATGTTATTTATCTTGCAGGAGTTTGTTTATCGCTCTCTTCCGTCACATCCTCAACGTGGGAAAGAAAGGATGTTATCGCACGGCCCTGGAATTGTGTAAGCTCCTGCTCAACCTTTCCCCTGATGATGACCCTCTGGCTGTGTCCCTCATGATTGATTTTTATGCTCTGCGAGCCCAGGAATATGAGTGGCTTGTGGCCCTCTATGATATGTACGAGCCATCTAAAAATCTGTCGATGGTAAGTGTGAGTTGTTTATATGAAATTTATGATCAGGTTTAGAAAGTTAGTTTTTTATTTAATTTTTATTTTACAAATCGGGTTTAGATATTTAAGGATCTTCTCTCTTGTTTATGACCATTATGTCTTTGTAGTATTGAAGATGTCTATATAACAATCATCAAAATTGTGACCAAGTCCCAGGTTGCTGATCTGGCTTTCTGCCTTATTTACACACTTGCAGGGACCCGATTGTTTCTCATTCTTTGACACCACAACATATATATCGTCTCTCACTCTTGATTTGTTTAATTTTTTCCATTTTTGTAATTATTTTGGTTCAATTTGCTTTTTTGTCCCCCAGGCCCAGATGTGGGTAAGTGACCTGCGCCTGGGTAGGCTGATCCCCATAAAAATTTTTATGTAAAATAGAAACCATTATGCATGTTTTGTTCAAAACTGATTGGTGACGGTAAGTGTATACAATATATAGTAGTGCCTAGCAGTACAGTACTTGAAATCTTAGTTTACCTGTATATCTTTATATTTTCAGCTTCCAAGTTTTGCTTACTCCGTTCCCCTGGCCCTTTTCCATCTAAGTGTTGGTGTGGATCAATCTACACAGCGGGATAGAAGAGAATCTATCAAGGCAGCAGCACTGGTAAGCTCAGACTACAGTTTGTCACAAAATATAAGGTTCACAATTATATTTATTGCTTGAAGAGACTTGTGACTGACTTCTGGGAATATGTGTGACATTCCACACAGCTACCTAGATGGAGTGTAATATCTCACAGTAAGATGTTTACAGAAAACTGCCAACCACAGGATATGAACTGAATCAACTGAATATTCCACCCATTATCATCAGGAGTGACTTTATGAGGATGACATTAAGATTCAGTAACTTTTTGCTTGAGTAGTAGCATTGGTGCATTGTGTTTGTCAGTTATGCAAACTTGACTTCAGAAGACCTCCAGCCTTTCACAGGCAACTTTTGTACCTGATCTAACCCATTTGAGGCCGTTAGGTGTGTTAGCAAGGGTCAGGATGATTATTTTATCTAAGATAAATTAACAGATCAATGCTCCCATATAATGCTACAGTAAGGAAATGAAAATCCCCAGCAAGACAAACATAACGAGATTCCAGGATCAATCTGTCATATCTTTCATTGGGTACATGATTATCATTGTTTTAATATCTTTACACTTACAGTTTTCTATTAAGGGCATAAGTGGTTCACAAATACTGTTTTAGTGAATGTAAAACTGTTACTTTGCAGATGGAGGAACTAGGCAGCCCAGAGGAGATGCGGAAGCGAGCAGACACAATGATACAACGTGCCCTTATAATGTTTCCTGGTGTATTAATGCCTCTGCTTGATAAGTGCAATGTTCAGCCGGATCCTGTTGTTGCTAGTCATCCATTCTTTGGTCCAACAGCACAATTAAAGTAAGTTTTATTGTCAATAAGGCTAATGCAGTATAGTACAGTACTATAATACAGTATTAGAAATGCCTCGTACAGTGTATCATTCCAATACTCAGGTAAATATGTCTATACAATGTAAGAGAACAAGTGAAGTAGCTAGGTGGTGTGCATATGTGTCTTGTATTAATAACCCATCCAGTGGCTCAACTCTACATAGAGCTATGGGTGAGTATCCCATGATAGGCTTAATACACGTTTCCGATAAAAGGCCTATAAGCTGGACTCTAACTGGTGTGAACTTAAGTGTCTGCTTTGCTTATTCTTGGGTTTTCCCTTTTTAATATATTGTTGGATATTTTGCCAGTGACCAACATGGGTTGCTGCCCCTTCCTGCTTCTTGAGTGTGTTAATGAGACTACCTGAGCTCAGCCAGCCTTTCTTGGACAATATCATGAAAGTGTCTGTCATATGACTACCTACTCCTTCCTGTTTCTGGCAATATTGCCACACCACCGGGCAGTCTGCCAACTACTGCAGTTGAACAAGATTTTTTCTGAGCATTACTTTTCATATTTGAGGAGTAATTTACTTGTTCATGTACACTGTAGGGGCTCTGGTACACTAAATGATGTGGTCAAATTACGGTATCTAAACTTAAGCATTCCATAAAGTTAGTTCTGGAGTTAGTCCTAATATAACTGATGAAGTGGACTTAGGAACTGTGTTTCCCTTCTGAGCTATTTCTAGAGCTGTTTGTGATCAAACACATAGAGGTTCTCTTAAGAATTTCTGTGATTTCCTCAAGATTACTCGAGACTTATTTCCTGGGAGTGACTACTGCATGCTCTCTTGACTGGCTTTTTCTGACATAATACATGTACTGTATCAGCAAATATGGCCTTCATTAAGGCATGAAGTGAGATCTACCTTTTATCAAGGATTAAAGCACAAGACATTTTGTAAAGTTTTAAAGCCTCTCAGTCCTTCCATGACTGTCTGTTTCACTTCTACTGTTAACAGTGCCTGATGTAAGGATTAATTGAGTCACTACAGCCATTGAGAAAAATTAAACTCCAGGCATTCTTATCAAACTATCTACTGTACCTCAAATAGATTTTTTCAGAATGGAATTGCATGAGGTGTGGATTTGGAAAGCTACCAAAACAAAGATTTCTATTTACTGATAAATGGATGAGTCAGGACAAAAGATAACACTTCACTAAGAGTGTGCACCTAATGAATGTAAACAAGGCTTCCTTCAGCATAACAATCCAACAAATTTCCCTTTTCTTCCTAGATTTTGTTCATTACAAAAATCTCACCACATTTCGTTCTCATTTTACACACTCCCAGCACATCCAACATGGGAATAACACTGAAGCAGGTGGTTGCAACCAGGGCAGAGCTTGTCCTCACTTTCATGTCAGGGTTTATGATACGTCGTAGAAGTTAAAGGTCAGCCTTAAAGAGAGCTGTCATTTTGCCCATCACTTAGTTGGCTCAAGGAGACAGAAGGTGAGAGAGCGTGTTACTATAGTGCCTACACCCATCTCTCAACCTATTCCTACACGCCTACCCACACCAGCAGAGGTAAATAATTGGCTTTCACATCTCCTTTTTTTTTTTTAAGGACAAAGCCACTTGGAGGCAGAAATGAATGTGATACAGAGGATATTTCACTCCATACTCAAAGTCTGCACCCTGATATGGCCAATGCCTACAAGAAAATAGAGGAGGCTTCACCGCAGGCAGGAGGCAAAATCCTAAAGGACAACATTGGTCATTAAAACTCAATTCCCTTATACTGTACTACTTAATGCACAGGACCTAGTGACAAACACATACATTTAGTGTGCATATGTGTATGATATGCCAGGAGGAAACAGTGACTCCTGTTGTAGTCGTTAGGTAAATGTGGCTACACCTTAACATATTGAATGCAGAAATTCTTGGTACCTTTTGCAAACTTTTTTGTGATATTTCATCACATGGGCCCCCTATTTGGGTCCCACACATTTGATATACTGTATTGTTAATGTTTTGAAAATAATAAATGTTTTTCTCTTGGCTGCAAAGTTTAAAAAGAAAGGAATTGAAGTCTAAAATTTTGAAGGCTTAATGTACAGTCTTTATGAAAGATGAATTATCACCCTTTTAGTTATATGACAATTCAACTACTCATCATTAACTGTAACATCATTTACTAATGTTAACCTTTGTTTGTCTTACAGTCAAAGTAAAGGTTTGAGCCAGATTGTCAACCTATATGTGGGTCGCTGTTTTCATGCCTGGAAGGAGGCTGGTGTTGTCTCCTGGCTTGAAGGTGAGGACAGTACTGTACTCCACCTTGTTGATAGATGATGATCTGATATTTTAATAATGCATATATTTAAAATTAAACACCAGATAATTTATAATAGCTTTTGCTTATGTTACCATATGTGTGTAGAGTACAGTATATGGTAACCAATACTCAACATACTCATTATAGGGAAATTATCATACCTAATGTCTCCTTTTGGGGAATTCAGTATTGTTAGAAAAGTTTTTAAAAATTTTAATAAACTGTATATCTAAATTTTACTTCTCCTGTCATAGGTTCAGAGTCTTTGAGAATTCCCCCCCTCCTCCCCCAATCTTTTTTGATACTTGGTCTTGATTGTATACAGGGTATTTGCAATCAAAGGGCTGATGAATACAAAGAATTTGGTTCTTTATTGCCCGCTTTCTGATTTGCAATTCATGAACTTCAAAATCTCAAACTTATGAAACTTCATCGTATTAAAATTCCTTAAACTTCACCCTTGTCAGTTCATGTCATAAATATTGTTATTTGTCTTGACAGACAACGTCCAGATTGTCTTGGCTCGTGTAGACAGTGGTGACCCGTTGGTGAAAGAGGGAGAAGAGATACGCAAGGTGCGATACCAGGGCACACCGATGGCAATCTATCGTCATATTCTCATGGCAGAGATTAAGGATGCCACTGCAGCTCTTCCTCCGGTCAGTTTCCTTGCTTGTACTGTAGTTAGTAATAATGTATTTTTTTATCTGGCATGTCATTTTTAAGGATTGACAGTTAATATTTCCTTCTATGTATATCCAGTATGTACAGTACTCTCCTATAGAGTTACTTGTGTACTTCTTAATCTTGCTCAACACATTTCTCCGTATGGGTTGTGCCCCTCTGATGTACACAGTCCTCCTTGTTATTGCTTTTCTGTACTCTTTCTCACTTTCAACTCTCTTGATAAAAAGATTAACATAATTAATTATGAATATTACCATATAGTAATTTAAAATAAAAACAGATGCTATGGAACATCAGGTCCACCTTTTATATAATGAATAATATGTTGCTTCTACCTCAGTAGTCCCAGAAGCATGATCCATCCATCCCCAAAGAGTTTGAAATACAGTCAGGTAATAGATTCACATCTCTGTTGCAGGCCCTTGCCAACACTGCAGTAATGAGCTATGATCCTTTGCCACCTCCTGACTCCATCTGTGGTTACACCAGACCTCCTTCATCCAGCCAGCAGCCAATTAACTCATCGAGTATTTTGGCATCATTCTTCCGTTCACTACTTCCTACCTATGATCCAAATGCTCCAGATCCTGAAGGGTAAATATCTCCAGTGATGCTGTTCAGGGTATTTGTTTTACAGTCTGCCTCTCTAATTTAAACTGTCTGGGGGTAACATTGGGAAGAAGTTGATAATTTGAATTGAAGATATAAAATTTATACATGAAGAATAGTTTTATGTATTAGCCAATGAACCAAACATAACTGAGCCTCACACACACACACTTACACTGCAGTAACTTAGTTGATAATGAAGATAATGGGAGAGAAATGAGAAAGAGAAAGAAATTATTACATAAAATGGGGTGTGGGAGCTGAGTGGATTCAGCATTAACATCTTGTTCTATGGGTCACAATTCATGCCCAGGGCTTCTCAGTTCACACAGATGAGAATGGATACCTAACTTATTGTTGGGGAAGTGAAGATGACTGAATGCAATGCAAGCCACACTGCTTCCTTGTGTACAGAAGGCTTAGTATATTTTGTGATGTATCCACATTGCTCCTAATGGTTAGTCATTCCTTGATCTGGTGAGGAAATGACAGCTGACCGCATAATACAATTTGTGGTAAAACTCTTAATAATTATTGTCATTACATAAAGCAGTCTATATTGATACTATTACTATCCCTGACATTCTTGTAAAGAATGTGAAGCAAAAATGAATGAAGATCAACTGCAAGAAGTTTTTGTTATTATGAAAATATGAGAAAATTAATTTATGGATGGAATATGAGAATGTTATGTGCCAGCTGACTGTTTGAAGTTTTTATGAGTGTTGTGAGTAACATGTTGAGTGTTTGGAAAACCCCAATAGTTACCACATTATACATTATAGAAACATGTGATATATTATTACAACACAGTAAATATTTTTGCAGTTTTTTATTTTCATTATTTTTGTAGGGATGAAGAAGGAGCAGCAGCAGCAGCAGTAGGAGAGGAAGGAGGAGCAGAAGGTGAAGCAGGGGGTGTTGGAGATCTTAGAGCATCTGTTAATACACTCTTGGATGCCATGCGTGACTTACTATCAAATATTCACCTCCCTGAACCACCAGGGAATGAGGCGGACATGTCAGAGGAGGAAAATAATGAATGGGACTGAGTTATGAAATTTTACAAAAATGGAAATTGGGGTTTATTCAGCAGATGAAATGAAATCTCTAGACAGCAGATTTTAATATAATTGCTCCAGTATCATGCCATCAACATGAGAAAATGAAATCACAATGTACTGTACTTTTAGGACATTATTTGTACATTTTTGAGAACCATTGTCATAACTGAGTAAATATGAAGTGATGCCCATGTTTATATGTACTTAGGTCTTCAGCTTTTGTTTTCTATACATTTTATATCTAATCTTTTGTGCCGTTTTAATAATGCAGTAGAAAGTAAACATTTTATTGGTATAATTATCAACTCCACATTTAACTAGATATGATTTTCCCAGGATGAATTTTTATTGCTATATGGTATATCTTTGCAGCATAGAAATTTAATGCTTTGACAGTCACTGTTCACATTTATTCTAATTACAGAAAATCTTTATTGATAAGGTTTTTATAAACCCAGAATGTATTAAACTTGATTGAGGGTTGGAGTGATTTTAATTAACAGTTAGTGGGTAGTTGAAGTAGTGGTTGTTTTGTGAAATTGATTCATTATCCTTATCAAGGTGGGAAATGTATTCACCATAGTACAGTAGTAGAATCATTACAAAATTGTTTTGAATCAAGCTTATACAGCAATCATCTGAAAATAAAAAAAAACTGCCAAAGATTGAAGAGGAGTTTCAGAGTGACTAGGCTTATACTGTATTGGTAAATAGCACAGCTTTAACAAATTGTGTATTGAGTTTCATACATTTACTGAATATCGTTTATTACAATAAAATGTGTTATACTGAAACTGCATTTTTTTTCTTTTATAAGAAATTTATTTTTTAATTATGCAGGAAAAGCCACCGAGAGTGATTGAACATTAGAGGAAAGTTTTGGTACAGTACTGGGAAGAAATAAACAGTTTCAGTGTAATTTTTTATTACTCGACAAAGAACTGGAAATTTCTGATATGGTGAACCCACAAAGGGAAATGCCATAAAAAAGTACTTTTATTGGTTCTGGGGAAGGTAGAGTTGACTAGCCAAAATGTAACCCACTGTTGAAGACTGTCCTCTTCACTTCAGTTCTCAACTGAAGATACAGTACTTTACTTTGTGTTTTCATAATATAATACAAGAGATAACCTTCCATTCATAACAATTTAGTAAACTGAAAATGAGAAAAAGTCAATGGTTAACGTGTTACATTTTCCTTACTATTTCATTGCAATATGGGAGACATTAAGGGGTCCCAAAGTTGAACCACATGTGCTTTCCATGGTGGCAAAGTCAATCCTGTACTGGGGATCTGAGGGAAGAGCCAGTACATACAGGGAGCAGCCATTATCTGTGGACAATTCATATTGTGGCATAAAAAATGCAAGCCATGTTCATGGCCAGCAGCAATGGGCATAGAAGCACTATGATCATGGCTTAGAGCAATGACACGGTTAAGACAACTGAATACAAAGATAACCTATCAGGGCCAGAATAGGAGTTATTAATACATAAAATTAGAATAAATGCTGTAAATTAACTGACGGAGCTTTTAAGGAAGTTGTGAAAATCATAAATGTGTCCATCTGCATTGACATTTGGTGATATTCAGTGTCATGAGAAAAACTATAGGATGGTGCTTCATTAACTTGTACCCACATCATGAATTGAGAGAAATGCCAAGAGATTTCAGCTGAAAAACAGTACACTTACTCACTAGAGGAGTTAACCCTTTACCTTTTCATGTATGGAAATTAGCAGGTATATATATATATATATATATATATATATATATATATATATATATATATATATATATATATATATATATATATATATATATATATATATATATATATATATATATAGGATCATATGAAGATCCTCCCCCCCAAACCTACTTGGGGGGGAGGATCTTCATATGATCAAGCCTGGATGGGAGGATCTGACCTGACCAATGACCAAACCTGACCTTACCTGACCTGACGTCACTATGACCACCTAACCTAACCTAACCTAACCTACACCAATATTTAGTGTAACAAGAAAGTAATCTGAATAATGTTTTATTATTTAAAAATCATGTTGTTTATTTAAATTATATGTTGGGGTGGATCTTCATATGAGCGCGACTGGGGGGAGGATCTTCAGTTGGATACTTTGGGGGGGAAGATCTTCATATGATCCTATATATATATATATATATATATATATATATATATATATATATATATATATATATATATATATATATATATATATATATATATATATATATATTAGTCCATATAACGCCAATCTTAACATGGTGGGCAGTGGTCCCTGGTGCCATCTAGTAGTCCTCAGCGCTACCACCAGTGGGTGGTCTTACTCTCGGTGCAGCAGACGACAACAACAAAGACTCACAGTCACCAACAGGACAGAGAGGAGCGGACGGGGAATCATGGCTGATCCAAGAACTGATATCCGTAATGATGCAGAAATGGCCGTCACTGTGGCCACCCCAGACCCAAAGAACGTCCAGGAGCTCACTCAATATGTACGTAAAGTTTACAACATATTTTTTTTGTGGTCAGTTATTAGGTAAGGAGGAAACTTTAGTAGATTCATTTGTGATGCTTTGATGATAGTGGTTGCTATGCCAACATCATTTGTTTGGTGCAAGCCATAGTAAGATGTTTGTGCGTGTATGTGTATGAGTGTTTGTTTGTCCATCTATCTATCTCTCTGTCAGCCAGTGTGTGTGTCGGTATAGGATTACAATTATTTGAACATCTGAGTAGGTATTGTTAAATAAAGGCACCCGTTAAGTAATGTGACTTCCTCAGTTTTTCTTGCATATTTTTTTTAACAAGTAAGCACAGGGAGATATAAGACCTTAAATCTAGACAGCCTAGTATTGGTTATTGTTCATTGTATTGTAGTTGCACAGGAAAAAAAATTAATGGCGTAAAAATGATGGAACGGTACTATGTTTTAAGACAACACTTGTGAAAATGAAATTTTCAAATATTTTTCTGGAAAAGTAAATTGTAAAAATCCGGGAAAAGCCTTAGAAATATTAGTATACTGTACAGTAAATACTGTATACCTGTATGATCTTATTCTTCAGTACAGTAGTTTGTTATGACAGATTCTATACCATATGTATTTTACATTGCAGGTGACTCTATTGTTACAACAGATGCAGGAAAAGTTCCAGACTTTGTCAGACCAGATAATATCAAGAAATATCCTTTTATAACATTAGCATTACTGTCTTATATTAAGTGTGTCTCAGTAAGAGAACTTACATTTGTCTGTGTTCATGCATAACTGGTAAGGTCTGCCATGAACTGTACAATAACAATTAAGACCCATTACCTGGTTTGGGTGATTCGGGTATTATCAGCCAAAGTCTCCTTCCTGGAAAACCCTTGGTGGCTGGAACTGTCTGAATAATTAGTTCAAAGTTTTCCTCTCACAATCATTGTCCTTAAGAAATGAGTCAAGGAAACACTAGCTGCCACTCAGTTACTGACAACTGTTATATTAAGTGAACCCTCAGTTCCAGTCATCTTCTCAGAGCAAAGTCTTATGTTCCTGTCTGCCTCCACCTTGTGCTCAGACCTAAATCTATCCCCATATGCTTAGCTCTGTACTATACTTCCCTTCTCCACCTATAGTCATTCTTTTTACCATATTGTTTGTCTCCCACTCTGCACTGGCAACCTTTTTTATTACTGTACCATAATACAGTATATGCTTTGTTCTTTATACCCCACAAGCTTCCTCCTGTCAGCTCATTGATCTTTCTTTTAGATTTTGGTGTATTTTTTCCTTAATTCCTAAATACTAGATGAGATGGGGACTCGCATTGATGATCTGGAGAGAAACATTGCTGATTTAATGACTCAAGCTGGACCAGAGGAAGCAGACAAATGAACAGTTCTTCCTTGATCTGAATACTGTACTGTACTACAGTATATTGAAGACCTAAGTCAGTGTAAAGAAGTTTGGTGATAGTGAAGGCAACATGATATAGGAGGAAGATATCACCTGAAAATGTATTTTTTGAGGGAACTTGAGAAGGGTAACAGCAAATGTGTTTCAATTTTATGCAGACAAAAAAGAGGTGGGCACTCTTGGAAAGCACTGTGTTTTGTCAAGCTTTTATAATGGTAACCCATTTACACAATCTTGTAATTATATAAGTGTGATAATTTATGAATTTTATGCTTTATTTTAGAAATACTGTGTGTACAGTATGCAGTTCATGAAAATGCCAAAGTGATGGTATAATCACTGGCAGTAAAGGCTGCATAAGCCTTTATAGCTACAGTATGATGCACATTTGTGTGGTCTGCCCATTTCTGGGGGACAATGTTTTTTTTTTTTTTATTTAATTTATTACGGGGATTAGCCCACCTGGGCACAGGTCACTGACCCAAATCGGGGCCTGGGAGGGCGAAAATGTAATAATAATTATTCATAGTAAATGAAATTTATAATAAAATGAAAACAAAATTGAAAATAAAATAATAATAATAATAATAATAATAATAATAATAATAATAATAAAGAACCACAAAGAAATACAAAAAATGAAAACAAAAGATGAAAAGTGAGAAACAATATATGTATTTGTGTATATAGCAAGAGAAACAATTGAGACCCTGCAATTGCGTATAAATGAGGCAGGAAGTCGGTCAGCAACCTGGGACTTGGTCACAATATTCGTGATGTCATATGGCAGCAGGGTCTACCATTAGACAACTCTTTATGCTTCCAATATCTTCCCAGGCGGTAGTACCTCCCTGTTTGGTAGCTGCCTACTACCTACAAATATGTTTATATCCAATATTATAATGTTGAATGTGTATACTGTACTGTATACAGAGAAGGTGAGAACTAACCAAATCTAAATTAAAATTAACTTTCCAATTCATACTTAAATGACTTGCTTTTCCCTAAATGTGTAAAATCTAGGTAAATACATGGATTGAGAGACCATTGTTTATACTTTTTTGAATAGCTTGATGTACCACACTAACACAGTACATAGCTTACCAATATTGTCATGGACATGTACAAAAAGATAGAGTATTAAATTCATAATTTTTTTGACCAGTGTGAATGGTATTTATCTTGAATATTTATATACTTTGTCAGTGTTATATTTAGCACGTTAACAGTTGCCACGCTGTGAAGAAGTATGAGGTAATCAGTACTGACTGTAGTCATTTATACTCTACAGGCAGGTAATTGTACAACACCTACCAAAGAAAGCCAATGTTTGTTACTGTGTTGATGAAGGCTGCCTTTCATTGTATGTTCTGTACCAATAAGCCATTTACCAATTTTTATAAAGTAGGGTATCTCATGTAGTGTCTCCAGACAGAGGGGTGTCATTCATATTTAGCATTGTTATTTATACAAGATATAAGTCACTCCTTATGTAAGATACTTAATCTTGGTAATCAAAATTGACCTTCATTTGCCTTGAAGAAGAAGTGCTTGAGTGAGTTCAGGGTTTGTACACAGGTCAATATCATCTCTGTACAGTCTCTTAAGTAAGCAGTCCTCCAGTAGTAACAACCAGACACGTATTGTATTTTTTTTAAGAAGTCATTTGTGATGCTCTGAATACTGTAATGCTTAACTTTCCCACTTTTTATATAATATTTACCCACCCTCTGAGAAGGGGACAACCAAGGTCACTGTTAGTCATTCTGTATGTTAGTTAATGCAGCAGTGACTCGGTTATTTCAGTAAGATATTGTACTGTAAAAGCCACAGAACTCTTTAACATACAGTACTTGCTATTTGTTTTGCACACTTTCACTTGGGATCTATTGTTCCATTGAAGACTTAGCTTTCTTAATATATGTATGATAACCCCAGCCAGTGTTTGAATATTAAGTCAAAGCTCAAAAATTCAGTGTCCACATTGTAGCACGATTCCTGTTTAACCATTCTGTGGTATAATTTGACCGAGGTTTTATAAAGCACTAAGAAATGGTAGGTATAAGCTCTGGAGTTACCGAGAGAAACAAGTGACAGCACATCCGTTTGGAATGCTTAAGTTGATGCAAGTAGACTGAACAACTGCCCAAATGAAACCTGATGTAGCTTTTATGAATACAAAGTCCCATGAATATATAGAATTGATATGCAGTTAAATATTCTCTAGTTGTTGAACAGAAACCAATAATGTGGTGTACATATGGGCATGACATTTATACAGAAGGATGATCAGGAGTGACAATATACAGTGTACTGCATGTTTCCATTAAAAGCAGTGAAATACAGTATATCACATTAAATCTTAACATTATTTTTTAGAGTTATGCGAGCTCTTCAAATCTAGTTCTTAAGACCGAGGGGAATATGTCACCTCGAACATCTTGTTATAAATTTGTTCTTTTATTCCTACAAGTTAAAGGATTTAAATTTTTATTTTTGTTCACAATTTGAATTTGTGTTGGTTTTAAAATGATCAGAATGGATTACATTAAAAACGACGTTAAATATATAGGAAAAAAACTTGGGTCAGTAGATTATTTTTAGGATGTGTTTCATCCCATATGTTTGGGATGGAGTATTGTGTAGGAGTTCATAAATGCCAAGTAGGTGGCACAGGTACGTAGAGCCAGGTTATTGAAACACAAACATTGTTCTTTGTTGAGCTTAATATTATGCGAGATATAAATGCTTAAAAGGTGGAGAATATTGTGATCCTGCAATGTGTTAATTAAATCCTCTCGGATTTACCGACGGATGTTAAACCATAAGCTAAAGAATTACTTAATGTATTGTAGGGTTGTCAGTGATTTCTTTTAGGTTTTCTAAGATCACCAATTCTGAAGGGCACTGTGGCAATCCTGACTCCTGTAGATAATAACACTTCCAGTTTTTATCTTCTATTATATACAGTACTTTTTTTTTTTTTCCATTGTTTTAGGCTCTTAATTTACTGAATCAGATACAGTAAATCTCTGAAACCCAACAACAGAGCAACAGAGGATCAGCTGCAAGTGACCTATTATTTGTACTGCCTGAACCAACCAAACATCCCACCTTTTTGTTGCTGTTAGTTACAAAATGTGTACTCTCCAGTAATTTGTCAGGAGTCTATGGTATACGTACTGTACAGTATAAATAAGAAAAACTAGTTTATAGGCCAATAAAGACTTGGTGCTTAAATTAAGTTTTGCCAGTGTTTAGGAGAACTAAAGATGAAGTGATTATTGAACAGGTTTATGTGACAGTATCCCTAATCTAAATGACGGACTATAGTAAACCGTAAAGCACATTTTTCTAATGGGTTCAGCCATGATGATCAACATGTTAAACTGTCTTAAGGTTTTGCATAAAATCAGCCCCAAAATTATGTTACAACAGCACTAAGAAGGAAGCTTCTTACAAAAGTAGAAGTATGTGTACAACTTTATTTCAGTAATTATCTTCAGTTGCTTTATAATTTTAATATAAGTATTTATATATTTTTGAGATACGTTGTGGTTTGATTCTTGAGTGCAGTAATTAACTTGGTTTGTACAAAATAATAGCTATTAATAGCAATTAGTTTTTAGCCTGAATATGAAAATTATTATGTATGATAGAGCACCTTTAGTAATGTTTCAGATTTTATCTGTACATCATAAGAAGCACGTTAAATTATATTAGGATAAAGAGAAAGAAAAACGATTTTTTATTACATGCTTATTAAATTCTGTATACATCATGACAAGGTTTTAATTACTGTACCTTAACAGAGTACTCAGTACACTTTAATACTACTGTACTGTACTTTGTTTTAGGAATGCAAAAACCCTTGGTAAGCCATAAAGACTACAACAAATTTTTAGATGCAATACAGAAACAGGACTTGATATGTATAATCTCACACAGCTGTTCTAGGAATCCAAGTAAAGTAATCCATTTTGTATGTAACTGGTGGTGCACAGTGCTCTTAGTGGTGCACAGGGAGACACTGTAATTACTTAGTTCCATGAGTTATTTATGGAGGTGCTGGCATGGTTTGCACTGAACCTATATATTACAACTGTATATGTGCCGTATTTATGATAATTGTAATGTATAAAACATGACTACATCCATCGCTACACTCTGCACATCAGACAACAGTAATAGATCAAAGCATAGATCAAGTTAAAAAAACCATTGCCCCTGTTTGACTTTTTGGGGGTCTCTTTTTGGAACTCAAATTGACTCGCCATCCCTGTACAATACAGGTTAACCGTGATATACGATGTCCGGTCCAGTGATATTTCACTTTAACGATGGCCATGAATTAAGACCATCTCGCTATATATGATGAAAATAATTCACTTCAACGATATTCATTGGTTGGATTTTTGTTTATCTCTCGTGCAAACATTGGGTTGTATATTATACTGTACTCAAATTAATCGCTGTCTTGCAATGATTCCAGCAATGCAAATTATATTTTTCTACATCAAGCCTGTGACATTTTATAAGGAAACAATATTTAACCCTATGCACCACACATCTCTACCTTCACTTGACAACCTCCCCACATGCTACCACACGACCAACCCGTGCATTACAGCCCTCCGATTGATTCTATGTCGATCGTAAACCTGCTATTGCATTGCTTCATGATTATCGGTCATCATCGTAATGTACTTATCATTGTTTTTGTTTTTTTTCTTATAGTAAAAGGACAGCACTAATGTTTAGATTCAACTGTGTTATGGTGATGGTGAAGTGATATTTTTTGTGTTTTTGGACTTAAGGTGCTTCACCTCTTTTGTTGTGAAAATTATGCGAGCATTGTTGGCCGCTATCATTGTTTTTATGTTATCATCGTTCACTCTGTTTTTGTGACTGAGAAGTGAGCAGTGTACTTTAAAAATGTCTGGGAAGGCCAAGGCATCCAAGACAACCGTGACTCTGAGGTGAAACTTGACATTGTGAAGCAGCATGAGACTCCCCAGAGGCCAGAGGCTGTGTGTCAGAGTGACGTCTCCACTCCACCTACAAGACTCCCCTTAGCCTCAAAGGAGACATGTGATGATGACCAGGCTTATTCATCATGATGTGAGTGTTGTTTATTTTTTTGTACTGATAGTACTGTAGTAGTGTAGGAATTTTTTTTTTGGTCGGTGGTACATGTGTGTTTGGGGACTGGCTGCGAACATGTCCTATTGAACCCCATGTTATAATGCTCCTTATCTACAATAATTCACTTAGCGATGGCCTTTTCAGGAACCTAACCCCATTGTTTATCAAGGTTTACCTACACTGTATATTTTGACCACTGTCCTGTGTATGATCTAGTAAAATGTAGTTACTATTTTAATGCCAGGTAAAGTGGTTTGGCTATTTCTGCTTTAAATTGACAGATAATTATTTTCACAAAGTTTTCCTCACAAGAGTGAATTTTCCCCAGTTTCTGTCTGTTAAATCTGCTAGACACTTTTGACTCCCAACTTAAGGGCTTCCTTCAGCAAGATTTTCATTTATTCTCTCAGACACATTGAGTTTCATTACCATATATCTCAACTCAAAATTTAGTCGGGGGTTCTAGAATGCCTGCTGTTTTCTTTCCAAATGTTAAATTCATGGGATCCATCGCATCACTTTTCCTTATTAAATCACAAAATGGATTACTCAAGAATGGGATTTATTTATGAAGGAATTGGAGAATTGTATCAAGATATGCTGTATGGAGGAGGTTCATCAAGAGTTAACCTGCTTTGAGACTAAGTTTTTTCAGATACAACATATACTGATATAGTCCATAGTTCCAATATGTAACCAAGTAAGACTACCTATACAGGTATATTTATGTATATACAGTACAGTAAAATACTATGCAATGAAAAAATACATATGTCACTGATGAAAAATAATGTAAGACTTGAAGATCAAACTTTTTGATAAAAAGTGAAGGATAATTATTAGTGCAATAATTTTCAAGTTATAACTTATATTTTGTTGGCAAATTACAGTCATAATTCACTTATGCTTAAGAATAATAAACCATAAACCATCTTTGTGGTACATAACTTCAATAATGAAGTTCTCTAAATAATAAACCTAATAATGGAAAAGAGGAAATAAACAAAGGTTTATGGTCTGCTGAGTATCACTAACATGAACCAGACTGCTTCAGCAAGTTTACGACATCAGTCATAGTTTACCCTTACCAGGCACTCGACCTGATTTTTATTTATGATTTTCTGATCTTAATTAACACTTTATATGTTTAAGTATAAAAAAGGTATTATCAAAAATTCCATGCAATATGAGACTAATTTTTCCACATTTCTCCTTATGAAACATTTCACAAAAAGGACAGTTTCCACTCCTTACTTATCTATACAGTTTGCTTTTTTACATATACAGTATAATGGGAACTATACAAAGATAATTATTTTTTAAAAGGTTTCCTTGCCCTTTAGAATGATTTCTTGCCACGTTGTGGAAAAAATTCTTCCTTGAGATAATTAAAGAATGAGAGAAGCCCGTACCTCTTACCCTTTTTGTTGAAGTATCCAGTGACAAAATCATCATCATCTGAAATATTAAGCCATTTATTAATATATACAGTATGTACAATACTCATGAAAACTAATTTATCTGAAAAACTTAAGTTTAGTACAGAACTGAAATTAAAAAAAATACCAGGGAAATAAATCAAACCAGGTTGTCTGTTCAGCTGAGGGAGAACTGAGGAGTGTTGGAACTGTTACCCAAGTGGTGACTCTGGCAATGGACCATGAAGTATGTACAAATTAGCCAAGAAGCAACGACTTGACTCTCAAACCAACTGGCAAATGATTCCTCCAAGTACCCTCTCTTTAGAAACTGGTTGGGCTGGAGGGAGATATTAATTCTGGATTTCTGACACTATAAATTTCTGGAATACATTACAGACCCAGTCACACAAGTTAGGAGTCCTTAGTTATGCAAATATTTCTCAGCTGCATATTTGTAAACAATGTTCACAATTAACTCACTTGATAGTAAAGGTCTGGACTCTGCTCGTGTTGGTAGAACATTCTCATTTGCAGATAGGGAGATGAAGAACCCAAATGGCACGAGCCAAATATATAATGTAAAATATGCCAACACCTGAAATAAAAAATGTCATAACTTGTAGACTTATATATATAATGTAAAATATGCCAACACCTGAAATAAAAAAATGTCATAACTTGTAGACTTATAGGAAAAGTACTGAAGTCTCCTTGGAATGACAGTAAAGCTGTTATATATTTTCATGTACGTACAGTATGAAAATTTTCCTCAGGGCACACTTAAACTTACCTCAGATGCTGGGTAGTAATATGCAGCAAAGAAGGAGAATGCCAAGTAGTGGTTGACAAAGAACAAAACTGAAAAGGATTAAGAGTTATGCTGTATGACTTGATGCAGAAATTTTCAAGCCTGTTCATGAAATCTAAAATACGATACTGTCATTTTAATTATGATTTTTATAACACTAAAATTTCATGAGTCTTTTATGATTTGAGTCATCATCATCAACATTTTATGACCATTTTTCATGGTTGCATGGGTTAACTGCAATTACCTTGTGGCAGCTGGGGTAAAACCGGAACAGTTTGTCCCCCTCAGATCACCACCACAAGTTTTTTAATTTTTGTTTAAGATTTGTTTTAGATTCAGTAAGGATTTTCACATTTCTATTTATATAGGGAGAATTTTTTTTATTGTATTACATTTCAGGTGCAAATTTATATTTTTTGAGTATTTTAAATGATAAGACCTCCCCAATTACCAACAATATTGGTTGCTCAAAGCAGACAGGGCTTTGAAGCAGAAGGAAAATATGGGGTAAAATACATAAAAGAACACCAAACAAACCTTTGGAAACCTTACCTAACTTATAAAAATGTTAAAAATTGCTTTCGGGTTCATGGACCTCCTCCACATCTGAACACTGAAAACAAGAATAAGGTAAAGCGCTTCATAGTTTTGGGTTTTTATAGGTAAGGTTAGGTTAGGTTTGTTTGGCATCTCTACATGCTTTGTACACGAAGAAATTAATTATTTACTGTAAATACTCCTCCCAAAAATCTGCCGAGTTGGCACAAGTTCTCGTCTGCTCTGTTTGTTTACAACCGACTTACTCGGTTCGAGTGTAATGTGACCACAAAAAAATTCAAACTTACACCATGACTCTTTAACAAAGTTTCTCTCATTAGGAAGTTAGGTAAGGTTAAGGTCAGGTTCTAGTATTTGTTTCCTCTTTTAAAATATTACTGTACTGTATAATGATAAGAACATTTGTAGAAATAATGAATGAAACTGAACAATGCCTTCTGGTGTTAGCCATCTCCTGCAGGATTACCAATGATTGCTTTAGCTCATAACCAAGCACTCTGTAGGGTAAGGGTGTTTTGGGATCCTTTGAACCCTCTAACTACAAATTGATGACCACCTACTGCTACGGCACTACATATTTCCACGTAGGGATATACTCTGGCTAGATAGTGGTTGAGTGGCCAGGTCGTTTCCTGCAGTTCCAAGATTCCCAATGCATATGTCTGTGTTAATAGCACTGAGGTTTTTCGCAAGCGGCAGTTTCTAGAGTGTAGTTGATGACGTTACTAACTTAAGACAATCAACTGTATCAAGAATTATAGTGACATTTTCTCCAAAATAACAGTACTGTACTTTTGATAATAATCATATTATTATGTTTTATTATTGTTAATATTATCATCATTATTACTATTATTAATAATGAAAACTCCATGATCTTTGTTTCTTCTACAAATGTTATCAAGAGATCACAATACGGTCTTCTGTTGTTGTGACATGATTGGCTTACATCTCCTACTCAGTTATGTATCAGTTGCAGTGATTGGCCGAGAGGAAAATAATCATAAACACACCATTGCCACCTGTCGTCATTTTATGAACTAATGCCAGAGTTTGTACGAGCACCACGGCTAAGTTACGAACTGTCTGTGAATCGTTCTTACGGTAGTTCATGTGGACTTCAGATCTTCCGGCAGTTATGAACTTCGTATCTCAGCAGTGTTAGTAAATCTGGGCCCAGTTGTTACAGTATAGTTATATTAAAACCATAACCAAACTAACAAAATACTTACTAACACCAAGAATGAATGGTAGAGAGGTGAGGAAAAAGAATGGAAATGTGCGGAGGATGGAGAGATGCACCAGCTGTGATATGAACCCGCACAAGATGACTGATGTTGGTACACTCTCAAACATGAAGAGTAAGATGTAGAGTCCTATGGTGACCTGCAGTAGAGGAAACTTAATTATATCCAATATCTTAAACATACTGGTAGTCTACCTAAACTATCAGCCATGACTGAACACATATCACTATAAGAATGTTTGCTCTGCAAATATACACTTATACAAATACTGTAGAGCATTCTATTCTCACACAACTTTCTCACTACCAGTAAGCAAAATCTATGGTCCCTTAAGGTAATGCACTAAATTTATATTTTATTAATTTCTTTATGTATTAGGTGGTAAATTAGAATAATTTGGTACTAAATTAAAGCACTTAGGTACTGTACTAATTTGCAGTACTGTACTGTAGTTATGTAGTTTTTTGTTTGTTTGTGAACCGATTAACTTTTTTTAGATATGCATGGGGTTTTCTTGTAGTTAGTTACTAAACTACAATAGGTGACCCTATTTCATTTTGTCTAAGTATAAGTGATATTGAGGTTTTCTTGTCACTGGGAAACCAAATCCTCTTTTTTCTCATATATTATTTTATATACTGTGTGAATATATACTTAACGAATAGTTTTCAAGGAACTTAACCCTTTCATACAGCGAGAGATACTGGTATTTTAAAATCATAAGAAGAGGTACTGTACTGTACTTACCCATATCCAATATCTAAGAACTTTGGCGGCTGTGCTGGTATATTCTTCGACTAATTCTGCTAAGTAATACAGAGCTGCAGCTAAGAAGGAAAATAAGAATTTGTTAATATTCAATGCCACCTGAGATATATAATATTGTAGGTTGGTAATGTACACACAACACAAAAAGAATCTTTACAACAAGGCCCAATGGATTTCAGAATGAGTAGTATGGCTCTGTTATGTCAGAAGAGTTGGTGTGGCTCATTGTGAAGTGCAATTCTTAATTTTGCTTTATTTTACGGACATAAAGAAACATCTAAGAATATAGCATATGAAGGGAAGCACGGGTAAGGTAAAAAAGTTAACATATGTTTCTCTATTTGTAAGGCAAACTCACACTCTTTATTTAAAAAAAATAAATACAAATTTAATGTTTAGATTGGCAAGTGTCAATGTGTACAATGTAACACTCATGCGATCCTAAATACACATATTAATATTTGCTAATGAACAATGCGTCGGGAGCGGAGATTAAAATTTTCGGTACCAGATATGGCCTAACAGGTGGAAGAGATATGCTGACACTGTGACAGGGATTATTTTACGTCAATTGCCGAGTTTCATGAGAAAAATAGTGAGGCAATTTAATTTTTTTTTTATAGAAAACATGGCGCGTTTGTCCAAAGTGTAATAATCAGTGTACACTGCGTGAAGAACAACACATTTGGTGGTGTCACTAGTTTTCTTCAGCCGAACAGTAAGAAACGGAAGAGGTGAAACCCTGGTTAGGTTAGGTTTGGTTGGTTGGTTGGCATTTTATTTATGTGATTTATTTGAGAAAAATCCAACTTTTTCCATAATGATTGTTGGGTGGGGGTGGGTGGGGGTAGTCTAAAAAAAACTAGTGATTTCCGGAGGAAATGAATATCAAATTCGTTAGAAACTCATCAAATATCTTAGGAAAAAACCTATATTTAATATCAAAATAAAGACCGGTGCATTACTATAAATTGACTCCTATGTATTTTCCAACATTTTTGAATGCTTTTGATCTAACCTAACCGAGCCACAGAACCCAGGAACTATATCTAACCTAACCGAGCCACAGAACCCAGGAACTATATCTAACCTAACCGAGCCACAGAACCCAGGAACTATATCTAACCTGACCGAGCCACAGAACCCAGGAACTATATCTAACCTAACCGAGCCACAGAACCCAGGAACTATATCTAACCTAACCGAGCCACAGAACCCAGGAACTATATCTAACCTAACCGAGCCACAGAACCCAGGAACTATATCTAACCTAACCGAGCCACAGAACCCAGGAACTATATCTAACCTAACCGAGCCACAGAACCCAGGAACTATATCTAACCTAACCGAGCCACAGAACCCAGGAACTATATCTAACCTAACCGAGCCACAGAACCCAGGAACTAGGACCTGACTATATCTAACCTAACCGAGCCACAGAACCCAGGAACTATATCTAACCTAACCACAGAACCCAGGAACTATATCTAACCCACAGAACCCAGGAACTATATCTAACCCTAACTGAGCCACAGAACCCAGGAACTATATCTAACCAACTGAGCCACAGAACCCAGGAACTATATCTAACCTAACCGAGCCACAGAACCCAGGAACTATATCTAACCTAACTGAGCCACAGAACCCAGGAACTATATCTAACCTAACTGAGCCACAGAACCCAGGAACTATATCTAACCAAACCGAGCCACAGAACCCAGGAACTATATCTAACCAAACCGAGCCACAGAACCCAGGAACTATATCTAACCTAACCGAGCCACAGAACCCAGGAACTATATCTAACCTAACCGAGCCACAGAACCCAGGAACTATATCTAACCTGACCGAGCCACAGAACCCAGGAACTATATCTAACCTAATCTAAACTCATAAGATTCCCCGGATGACCGAAACGATAATAACTATCATGAGGGAGGTGACTCAAAAACACTACGTTACCTCCAGCCGTTCAGCACTACTGTACCTTCAGGGTTTGATACCTAGTGGCCCATCCCTGTATTCCGTGAGGTTATTGCCCGATAAGTCTATTAATACTCCTCTTTTTCATTATATATTATTACAAGCAGCTAGATAACAACACGATAGTAATCTGTCTACAATAGCACCAAATTAACTTTTATAACTCCACCTACCTAAAGCAAGGGTTCCCAAGCATATGTGAACAAGTGTGGAAATCCATGACAAAAGGTATAACAACCCAGGCATTTTATACAGTATTAGTGAGGAGTAGACCCAGCTCCTCCACGGCTTCCCTAGTCTGCCAAATAAACACACCGTTCAGTTAATACATACTTATTGTTCATTTTCAAAAGGATAAAATACCATATAAGACTGAACTAAATTATTATATAGTTAATATAATTTGAATTTGATCTAAAAAAACAACTGATAACTGAAATTACTTTTAAAATCGAAGCTATTAAAGTAGTTATGAAGCTTAGGTCACAGCCAAAGAGACTCGAACGTATACTTCAGGCAACCAATCAGCTGACAGATGAGATGGTGATGACAACACAAGGGGTCCTGTGGATAAAATGGTTCTCTGAGATTAAATAATAATAATAATTTATGTGCATTTAAGTATTCGTTTTAAGATAACTTGTCGATTATTTTAAATGTCAGGCGTATATTACATTTGAAGATATGCAAATGGGATTTCAATTAACTCTACATCTGGTTTTATTGCGAGGACAGTAAAGCCTTCAAGTTGCTCGTAAATTTGATTTTTTCACGAGATTTTACTTTCATGATAAAAGTAGTGTAATGCAGTGGCGGCTCGTGCATAGGGCTGCAGTCCCCCCAGACACTCACTGCCAGGCGTATGATTCCTTTAGAGAGACAGCTGAATAATACACTACCAACAAATATATCATTTTAGATGTTATTTAATTATTTTCAATACGTTGCTAAGTGAATTTTCATTAAAATCAGACCAAAATTTAAGTTACTTTCATAGTTGCTGTCAATGCTGTACGATTGATGTCTGTTATTAATTGGCGCCGCCGCCGCCAATGCACTTGAAGCAGCTCAGTCTCGTACAACGTGTTTACAGTGCGTGTGGACGGTCAAGTTGCTGAAAATTTTAATAACAACTCCAATGACAACGGCAGAAGCAGAAAGGTGCTTTTCAACTTTGAAGAGAATTAAAACTTTTTTGCGCAGTACCATGGTGAATGACAGACTGTCTGCTTTAGCAGTGATATCCATTGAAAATAAAATGATAACAGAAATAAAGGATTTTAATGAAATAGTAATAAACAATTTTGCTACATCGAAGAGCAGACACGCCGACTATATTTTCAATTAATACTGGTCCATCACCACCAACACTACTACCATGCCCTGGGAATTCGTGGACATCAACTACAACTCATACCTGAGGTAGGTCAAATTTGTGTATCCTACTGTTGTGTGAGGCTTGCAGTCCCTCCATTTTATTTTTCACGAGCCGCCACTGGTCAGTTGGTTAAAAATGTTTAAAGGAGGGCCACCAGACTGGTGCCTGCACTTCGGCACCTCAGCTACCCTGAGAGATTGGAGCGCCTGAACTTGCCTAGCTTATACTACAGACGGGCAAGGGGGGGACCTAGTTGAGGTGTATAAGCATCTCAGGGGGCACTACTCAATCGAGTGTCCTTACTTGGAGCTGGCTGACGCTCGCCCCACAAGGGGTCACAGCTCAAGATTGAAGAAGCCGCAAGTCCAGAAAACTGTGAGGTCAAACTTTTTCGGAGTGAGGGTTGTAAACTCTTGGAACAATCTACCAGAGAGTGTTGTGACGGCACCGAGTGTGAGCTCTTTCAAGACCAGACTTGACCAACACTGAATGTACCTCACAGGTACATTCAGGAGCCGGTGCATGCCCAGTACTTGCCAACAGTGCGTAACAGAGACGTGACCGATCGCCCAAGCGGCTAGCGAGCCGATCAGTGGTGAAGAGGATAAAATTATAAAAGTATACCTGCAATCTCCTTCTGTTAAAGGACAACCCACGAGGATACTTTCAGCGTCACCTTCCTCTACAACTCATAGTAGGAAAAAGGAAAGCTGATAGTTTATCCACCCAATACAATAATCAGTTTCTTTCCTTGCCATATTAATGTCGTGCTCAGAGTCAATATGTTTCGTGAGTGTGTTTTTTTGGGGGAAAATATTACCATTAAAGCATTTCAAAACACGCTGATAATAAGTTGAGGATCGAAAGTTGGAACAGTCGTAAACACAGCTAAAAATACACTGAGTCACTCGGCTAAAAATCCGAGAATGAAATTAATCGTCTTATTAAAAGTCCGTACAGTAGTCTTGCCAGTACCCAAGACCGCATGACACCTTAGTGTTCCCTACTCAACTAAAAGTAGTATTACTGACGCTTCTTAGTCGAAATATAATTCTAGTCCAGAAAAGTCGATAAAATCATCTTTAAAGAATCGCTATATCAGAACTTTGATCTTTAAATACAGATTACAGGTTATACAGTATAACTTCTGTATCAGCGGCGGAGGAATATATCTTACCCGAGACCCTGCCTGGCGGTCAGAGCTCTACTGTACACGGTCCACCACGTCTAGTTAACTGTTCGGACGGTCGAGTTGTGTATTGCTGTGGATTTGACTCAAGTCTCCGTTACAGAGTGTTGGTAGTATTGGCTTCAGAAAATGTCTCAACTAATGCAACAGTCGTCAGTGCGAAGCCACCGAGGAATTTCCAGTCACCTCCCTCTCAACCATCGTCTAAGTAAGTTTCCATTGTTTTTAAATAGCTTGGGATTATTGTATGAGGTGAAATAGTTGCGGTATAGTGAAAAAGGTAATTTCTAGCCGGGCTTCAAAATAACCCTGCTTGTACATAATGAAAGTTGATAATCTAATTGTGTTGAGGTGGTCAGTGCCTTACTACCCTGGCTAATATACTGTCCATACTTAGCCAAGTGTGACTACAGCTCATCGATGGACATCACATTGGACATCATTTGAAGCTGTAGACTCTAGAACAACACTAGGCTTCCAAATAACCATTGACAAGACTAATCACGCAGGTTATTATTTAAGTAAGGTAAGGCTTTCATCTCAAGTCTTCCTTACTCGCTGTTGTCTGGATAAATCAGTGATGCTTTTACTAAACAGTGTTGAAGTGCCAAATTACAGAATTACCTTCTATAGGCTGTTGCTTTTCTCATAGTTGTTGGTCATACTGAGGTTGTTATTTACGCTGTTTCAGAGTCAATTAATTTCTATGTACCTGTACTTATTCGCGTACATTCAAGAAACAAACATGTGAAAATGACAGTTCGTGTAGTATGTCCTGGATAAAAGTTTTTTATGAGTAACAAGTTTTTCGTTTTCTGTGGTTTATGAAATAAGTTAGGAAAAGTTTCACGGGGAACTCGAATTATTATTTTTTCGTTGCATTTTGGACATTTAGGAACTTATAGCCTGGGCTGTGATTTTCAGTTCTTGATTTTCATTTTTGGGAGAGTGAATGGATATTTTCATACTCAGGAAAAAGTTAGTATAATACTGTAATACATAAGAAGTAGAGTTAGGTTGAATAGGCAGCTATCAAATAGGTGGTACTACCGCCTGGGAAGATATTGGAAGCATAATGTGTTGTCTAATGGTAGATCCTGCTGCCAAAGGGCATCACAAAAATTGTGACCAAGTTCAAGGTTGTTGATCTGACTTTTTGTCTCATTTACATAATTGTAGGCTTTCAATTGTTTCTCTTTCCTTGACAACACAACACACATATATCGTTTCTCACTATTGATCTTTTTTTTTAATTTTTGTATTTATTAATATTATTACTATTAATAACATTATTATTATTATTATTATTATAATTATTATTATTATTATTATTATTATTATTATTATTATTATTATTATTATTATTATTATTATTATTATATTTTCGCCTCCAGGCCCTGATGTGGGTCATTGACCTGTGTCCTGGCAGGCTAATCCCGTAAAAAAAAATGCAATAATAAGGAACACTTGCTTGTGACTTAATAAAAGATCGTAATCAGATTCTCTTAAGCAAATTAAATGAATAGCGTTGATTTGTTTTAATATACTTGTATGTGCTATATAAGAGAAACTTAATCTTTCATACACTTAAACTAATGAGCAAAAAGTTGTTTAAAAATATTTAATCTCTAAGAACCAAACCTTCTCTCATTGCTTCATCTCCCCCAAAAAGTATAGTACCCGAGCCTTCAAAGGAACAGCTCGGTTTTCTCAAGTCATTCATATACTGCATAAACTTGATTAAAAGAGGTAAAATTATTCGTAACCATCCCCACAATATTGGCTTCTGGTAGTGCATTGAGGTGCAACTTAACGATTCTTTAAACTGCGATTAATTACTTAGGCTTGAATACTGGAGCCATTATGTGAACTGTTCATGACGAAGAATCCACCTTTCATTAAGTTTCTGTTAATGTGTCTGCGGGTTGGCGACCACGGCCCTCCACTGTAGACGTTTTCTGATCGACTTTATCCATCCTCCCAGATATTGTATCTCGGGAATTCGCTTTTAATTTAATTCATCCATCCAAGCATCTGTTTTCCCCTGGTCCTCCCACCTTTAATTTTACTCACTGATATATCCTATACTGTATGTCAGCATTTTCCTATAATACCACATTTCTGAATACATATTACACGATGTTGAAGATCACACTCGGCATCGTCTTACACGTGGTTTCATTACCTACTAACCTTGCAGCTTCCTCGTCCCAATAAATTTTTTGTTCTATAATTCTAATATCTCTTACTATTAATAGTTATTTTCCCAAAGGCATCAAGTTTATTGTTTCTTTTTTACCAGATTAACTTTTTGCAAAATCCAAAAACAATATAATTAATTATCTTGTGGCCTCAAAAGCCCTTCTAGATAAAATTCTTAGGCCAAATATACCTTCCCGTTCCTCTTCCCTTTTTTATTCCATTTTGATCTTCTGGTAACTCAGTCTATTGTAATATTTATATAAGTTAAGATTTTGTTTACTGAAAATGTGTACCCTTGTAGCGTAGTGCATGTGGCCAGTTGTCAAATTTCTCTTTGTTAGGCTCACATACATACGTACATGTAGGAGATCTCGTAGGAGGTGAGAATGGAAACTCACAATGACGTTTTCTACATATATATTATATGTACAAGGCAGTGCTGGGGAGTTGCTGCGTGGTGAGGAGCTTGTTCAGAGGAAGTCATGTCTGTTTGAGAGCGTTGAGTACAATGGAGGCGAGGGGGTATTTACACGATTC